GGACTTAATCATCATGCTTGTAGCATTTGTCCTTAACCCTGAACTAACCTCTCAGAAATTCTTCTACTCATCCCATTGTCCTGGTTTGGGCCTTTATTAAGCCTACGTAACATACTCTTAATTAGGTTTTTTTTTTTAATGTCAGGCCATATTCTACTTCAGATCAGGGTAATCACATCACTCCGACTTCAGATCTATACTGTTTTTAATTGCTAAAGGACAAAGTCCACATAACTGAATGCTCATGAAGCTTCTTAGCCTAATTTTTGAAGCTGAATCAAAGATCATATTTTTTTTTTTGCCCAAAGATTTCATTTTTTTTAATATGAATTGCAGATCAGAGGGAGAGGCAGACACATCTTCCATCCACTGGTTTACTTCCCAAATGGCCGTATCAGATGGATCTGAGCCAATCCAAAACCAGGAGCCAGGAGCTTCTTCCAGGTCTCCCACGTGGGTGCAGGGTCACAAGAACTTGGGTCATCCTCTACTGCTTTTCCAGGCCACAAGCAGGGAGCTGGATGGGATGTGGGACAGACTGAACCAGTCTGCTACACATACTGGCAAGCACAGGAACCAAGGCAGGGGGCAGGCCTGGTAGGGTTGTTGGGAGTCGTCCCAACCAGGTTATTGGGAGGTCACTCTGACTATGCTGCAGCTCCCGCTGGTGTGAGGGCCAGGTGTGTGGTGGGCAAGGATGGGCCAAACCAGCATTGGTTTGTGTGAGATGGAGCTGGGGACAAAACTGACCATGCGACTGCAAGCACCAGCATGTAGGCTGATGTGGGTGATGAACTGAACCAGACGCCGCGCTGGCTGGCACACACAGGAGTCAGGTAGGGTCACGTCTGATGAAGTTCCTTTGGGGATTCCCCCAACTGGACCACTGGACTCAGAACTCCAACTACATGCAAATCACAGGATGTATAGTCTGTGCAGTGCATGTGTCAAAACTGGCCCTCCTTGGCTGCTGAAGCCTGTGCAGCAGAAGGCAGGCCCAGATACACATGGGGGACATGACCATCAGTTCACTGAGGCCTGTGGAATGCGACTAGTACCACTGAGGGCAGAACATATCCAACAGCTCTCGCAGCCAAGCTCTGACAGTGAGGATCTGGAAGAATCAAGACTAAGGTGGACTGTGTCAGCCAACGGACCTTGGAAGGATTTCCTCAACCTTGGAGCAATGAAATCAACATCCCAGAACTATCTAAACCACCTGAGCAGTGCCCTCCAAACAGGCTCCACATCAGGGATCCTGGCATGGGATCAGAGGGCCAGCTCCCATCTCTGTACTCTCTCCATGTTACCTAAATATAGGAAGAAAATGATCCACTTTCCCCATTCTTTGACCCTTCCACCCTAATCCAATGCTCAACATGGGTATGCATCCTGAACTATGAAAATATCATCAAAAATAAATGTATTATTACAAAATGTGAACAGAGGCCCCCTGCACTCCCAGCCCCCATGAGCTAGCCGTACCTCTGCTCCGACCCCTCCTAGTCTCCACAGCTCAGGGCTGCTTCTCCAAGAGCCAACATACCCTTTTCTCTGGAAAAAGGTTGTGCCTCCCAACAGCCCAACTCTCCTTTCTCACAATTTGTTGCCTAGGAAAGCCTACCCAGCCAGGCCACATTAAGTCTCCTTGTGTCATCTCATGCATCTTTGTTCTTGTCATTGTTTGGTGTTTTGCACTTACTGTAGACTGTTTTAAAGCTGTGTGAGGCCCTGTAACTAAGAGCTCCTTTAGGGCAATCAGTATTTCTTAGGTAGTATGTATGGGAATATTTGAATCACTTCAGCAAATGCCGAAGGAGTCAGTCAGTAAGTAGCTAAGGTCATTATAAATATACTAGGTGTTCCAAGTAATGGTGGCAGCCATTCATTGAATGAGCCACCATGATGAAAAGTAAAGGAATTTATGAAAATCCGTGAAGACTGGCTAGTTACTGCAACTGACACAACAACACAACAAAATTCACTAGCATGTGTTTAGAGTGCCGTAACTGAGGGCACTGCAGGTCCAGGGAGTGGTGTAAACAGGTGATTCTGAAATTCTTGATCTTGATTTAGACCTACCTAGGAATATCTACAGCAGTTCCCATCTTTCATACCCTCCCAGTCTTTACTTCAATCTTTACTCAGTCAGACATAGAAACTGTGGACACCAAATTTGCTAATTCTTATTAGGAATAAATTTCACTGACAATGTGTAGTATTTTCTTCTAAAGTATTTTAAAGAAAATTTCAGAATATTGATATTGCTATTCTGCTATTATTACACTTAAGAAAAACATTCTTTGGTCACTGGATAGTAGAAAGTACCTTAGTCCATTTGGTTTGTTAGAATGGGGACCCCCCACTACACAGGAACATTCACCCCTTGGTCTCATCTAGCTGTGTCTTCCCGTGCCACTGAGCTGTCACTCATCTACGGCCTCTAAAAGGCAACAGACTTACTATCCAGGAATGACCAATGGTAGGGGTCTCAGGACAGTTAGAATTTAGCGAGAACGTTAAGACAGCCATTGCTTGCCATGTCCCCATCCCGTGTGGGTGGTGCTGGGCCCGAGTAATCGGCTTCTGACCTGGCTTCCTGCTGCTGCAGCCAAGAAGGTGGCAGACATCGGCATTCCTCATTCCTGGCTTCACTCTGGCACAGCCCTGGCTGTTCTTGGCATCTGGGGCGTGACCCTGCAGACAGAAGCTTTCTTTCCATATCATTTTGCCTTTCAAATAATAAAGTGTTTAAAAATTAGCAGATATTCAAAGCAAAACCATTGTGCTCAAGAATAAAGCTGGTTCTGGCCAGACATGTTAGCCCAGTGGCTAAATCCTCGCTTTGCAGCTGCTGGGATTCCCTATGCGCATTCCATGTGTTCATGCCCCAGCTGCACCACATCCCATCCAGTTCTTTACTTACAAGCTGGAAAAGCAGTAATGGCTAGCTCAAAGTCTTGGAACCCTGCAGCCACATGGGAGAGAGACCTGGGGCAAGGTCCTGGCTCCTGGCTTTGGATCAGCTCAGTTCTGGCCACTGTGGTCACCTGGGGAGTGAACAGCGTATGAAAGATCTGTCTCTCTAAATCCGACTTTGCAATAAAACATTGTCCTTAAAGAATAAAGACGGCTCTGATTTTTGGACATTACGCACAGGAGGTCCCAGACTCTCCCCCTAGTTTCTCAGCGCCACAGTCTGCACTCCAAATGTGCTGCGGGGCACTCAGCATCCTGCTCACCGTCAGGATGTTCAGTCAGCGGATGCAAACTGGCCACTGCTAACATGGAAAAGCAAAAACTCCACAATCCCCACATTAGAGCATGATGGCACAGTGATTACAAAAACAGACTACACAGTTCTCCTTGTTAATTTATCATTTAATATAAATGCTGACAGAAAGCAGATAAAGGCCTTTAGGTCCTTTCATATTTACATACAATCCGAAGGCGAAGCACCTCCTTCCACCTGCTGACTCTTTTTATCTGCAACTCATGGGAGCCTTGAACACGTACCAGGAGCAGTACGAGGCTGAGTCCACTTCCAAGGTAACAGAGGAGACAGTATTTTAAACAAAACATGGCATCCTTGCTAATAACATGCACACAAATGATACAAAATTCAAGATGGTCCTACTCCTTTTAAAATCAGCAACATCTATTACAGCCACCAGAATTTTATTGCCCTAAACATCTTCCAACACCTACTCCTCCCTTCCCCCTTTAAGGAGTGCTCAAATTCAAAATATTAAACAGACTTAAAAAGAGGAAAATGGTCCACTGTAATAACAATCTTTTTTTATTCCAAAAGAGCTTTTAAGAGAAAAAAACCCATCAAATAAGGTTTCACAGTTTGTCAGAAATAAGGAGTTATTCACAGCTTGTGAAATTCCAATCTGCCTTTGAAAACAGCTGGAAGCGTTTGGAAAATACAAAATGTCACAGAATTCAGAAATTTAAAAATTATCTGTCACTTTAAAGCTCAATATTTTTTCAATATCTGAGTGGGTGGAGATACGCATAAAATAGGAAGCTGAGGCAATGAGAATAAACTGAAAATTCAGAAAAGCTTTCAAAAATGCTACTTTTTCTGACACTGATTTTATAAGATGAGAAACTGATTCTGTGTTTTCATAAAACCACTCATACCTTGACTCAAATCTCATGGGCTCCTCTTTTAATCTAGATTATGTTTGTTTTGTTAAATATACCTCTTTAGGGCACAATCATACACAATCAATACGATTGGCAAATTACACAGCTCTATTTCAAGCAAATATGCATCAATATTAAAAAGTTACTCTAAAAAACCCCACAAAATAAGACAAAAGCCACCCAAAAAGGTGATAATGACTGTAGACGTCTCGGGGAGACTGCTGTGAACCCAAACACCAAGCTGGCCACAGACACTGAAGAGACCACACCCAAGGGGGAATCTCACAACGTTCCCCATGTCACAGACCCATCAGTAAGATAACCATGGACCAATGAATTAAATGGGAGAAAAATTTGTTTCTTTTCGTTCCCAGAAAATGAGAAGGAGGACTAAGTATGAAAACTTGGCCAATAACATATCCAGAAAAAGCAGCTTTCAATACACTGTGTTAGCCAACACTTTTAAATGCTTATAAGTCATGGGAATTTTTGTACAAGGTGGTTCGGCTACTGTGATAACCACACTCAGTCCATGGAATGAGATTACACTAGAAAACGGTGCCTTTTGAAAAGTCAGGCAAACAAACAAAGCAGGCAATAGTTTGCTTCCAACCTTTTCTTGACGTTTTTGTGCACTGAGCTGGGGGTGGGGACCACCTGACAGTTTCCAGTTGTAAGGCGACTCTGGCTTGTGAGCTCTGCTTCGAGTCAAAACAACACAACCCTAACCCCAAACCAAACAAGACCTGACCGGAAGCAGTAAGACTGCGATATAACGAAGTGACTTATCTCCCCCAGTATACACCAAGGTATACACATTTCACAGGACTGCAGCTTGGTAAGGGCACATTCTGAGAACAACACAGTCTTGAGGTTCAAGGACTTCGTCTTCAGTCACTGTGCCTTATTTATTCCTTCAGGGATAAGGTTTGGGGGGACTCAGTGTTTGGCCAAGGTCCAGAGATCTGGGTGGTGAGGTAACTCCCTTTAGCAACAGGCTTTCAATGGGTGCTTCACCCTTGACTCAGTGCAGCATTAACACGCCATCTACTGGGAGTGCTTCTTAAAGGCCTCATTCCTGGCAGCAACACTTCTGCTGGTACTATTTATTAATTGGAATATACTATGAGAAGAATCTAACAATCACAGAAATAAAACCTTAAAGGTCCAAATCTTAAATTGTTAACTAAATTCAATAGTTATCTTTTGCAAAAATAACTTTATGGGAAAATTCTAGGTTAACTGCAACCCACTTCCAACTCCCCGTCAGTCATTTCATCATCAAAGTCTCAGAAAGTTGAAGGCAGGAAGATGTGGGTGTGCACCGGCACAAGGGCACCCTGGCAAGGACACAGCAATGCCCCTCGGCCTGCCCAGCCCAGGCTGCCAGGAAGCTCGGGTTTGCACCTGAAAGGAGACACCCTGTATCAGGGGAAGAGCTTTTCATGGTAAAGGCTCTGTAAATCATAGCTGACTTCCAAACATATTACACGAACTTCTCCTAAAAAGTGAATGGGACGTTCCTTTTAATGAAACATAAATCATTACAAGTCATTTTTTTTTTTACAGATTTTTATAAATGAAAAAAAAAAGTGTAAAAAAACCCCTTCATTCATTACCATTTGTATGTAAGAGCAACTCAATAACACTTGTCAGTGACTGAGTGTGTTTGTGAACTGGATCGCAGGCCACAGGTGCACTCCTGCTCTGCCTTCTGGGCCTTTCTCACCCAGACTCGGAGCCCGAACCTCGTACTTCAGGCACAAATGAACAGACACAGAAAGACTGAAGATGGTATTTATAACAAGAGAACCTCAAAAAAATGCAGTGGGGAGGTACAACACTATACAAAGATGACAGTTCACTTTTTATGAAAAACTTAAGAATTTTTCACTACTTTTACACATTTAATGAGGTCAGCTAACCTTAACAGTTAACTTTGCATAAATCTACTGAACGATACAATCAACTCATAAATACTGAAAGGCTTCCCAAACCCAGAGTGAAGCGCAAGCCTTTGGCTCTCCTTCAGGACAGCAGTTCCCAATCTCACGCACACCTTTGTTTGCCTACCAGTAGGGCAGATACCACATTTGTGCATCACTGAGTAATAACACCATTAGAAAAGGCAACTTCACAGAAGTTATTGGCTAAGCGAATTCATCTGAATGCTCTGTTGTGAGGCAGCAAACTGTCACTGTTGCAGATTGGGGAGGACAGTGGGTAAGCCAAGGGGAAACTGCAGAATGAGCAATGGACAGAACAGACAATCTGAGCGCCAGCCCCAAGACCAATACAGTCTACTGGAGTCACAGACGCAGAGCAGTGCGTGAGGGTCACACCAACTACACCTGCCAGGCAAAGGAATACATACATGGAAAGAGGAGGAAAAAATGAGTGATAAGGGAGAAGGGAATCGCCCACACTAATGCTGTGCCAAACAACTGTCTGATATGTCTAAAGGGCTCAATAGTTGCGGTTTGCCATAGGAATAATGGCTTATAATTTGAATACTGTAACCGGAAACCCACAATCAGAAAAGTAGTAAAGAATGTCTCTTTGGTCACTCTCGCTTTTGTAAGTTATCCAAACCAGAATATCAAAAAGTCTTGCCTTCAGCTTTTTCTCCCTTCCTAGAGACCTCCTGGAAGGAGCAGGTGCGAGTTGTTGCTCACCACACTACCTGGATTGTGTTGTCTGAGGAGTCAACGCCATGCTGCCATTCCTGCCTTAACCCTCTCACAACTGCTCATCACAAGTGTCCAAATCCTGCTTCCAAATTCAGTAAAAAGCAAAGTCATCTTCAGAAGAAACTATTTCATAAATAGAAGACACAAAAACTAGATTTGCTATGATCGCTGCCATCTCTAGAAAGAACAAGTAAAACTAAAACATCAAATAAACAAAAAAGAACACCTCTGCCTTTCAGATCTGATAAAAACAAAACAGAATAACAACAAAAAAGCAGTGAAAGACTCGTGCAGGTCGTTTACTTATGTAGGCTCACCACATCACAGAGAAAAGGAAAAGGGAAACCCAGCCTCCGGGGGCTTGCACGCATCACTGAGCCTGTGGGCGGGCACTAGGACAGGTGCAAGAAGTTCTGTTAGGTTAGGCGGGATGACCAATTTCAAGTAGATAAATTACAGGCCCAATGGATGTTAGACTAACTTCCTGTCAACTATCTAGGGATATCAATGGGGTAACGACTAGAATTCAATTTTTTTAAATAAACTAAATTAAAATACATTAGAAAGAGACTATTTTAAGATAAATACAAACATCAGCTTCTCTGGTTTTGTTCAGAGTTAGGGGTAATGTATAAAGCCATCTTAAGCTCGCAAAAATCAAGACAGCAAAAGCAAGAAGAACATTTGAAGAAAGTCAAGGATGAGAAAAACAAACCGAGTTAGTGGGAATTAACAGATATCCAAAACAAGAATTTACCTTTATTTTGAACTTCACCAACGTTAACAGCTATAAATTCTCTCCCAATACCAGAGTCATTCTGAATATCAAACGGAACCAATTTCTTCTAAATTTTAGGAATTATCTCTAAGTCCATGGGAGAAATAACATCCACCTAAAAATATGACTACCGAAGGTCAGAAGCCAACAATGTTGTTTTTTATTCTGAGAAATGAACAGTCTTGGGACTCTGTCACACACGTTTCTTTCCTTCTCCCAATAAATAATAAGCATTTAGACTGTAAATATAGGAGGAATCTAAGCAAAAATCAAAGAAAAGAGTAAATGCATATCAAAAAGGAAAATGGACATATCAACTGAAAAAAATGCCTCACCTTCATTCAGCGCTTCAACCTCCCAATCAGTCATTTTATCGCAACAGCTGCGCTCATGCGAAGAAATCCTTAAAACACACCTAATATATATACAGATATAGCTATGTATATATGTATATATATAATATATATAAAATTTTACTTAAATAAAAAAGAAAGCTCGAATCCCAAGCCAATATGTGTATATCAAATCCTTGACCAGCCAGGTCTGTAGGGCATAATCAAATTCAATGTGAAATAGTATATAAACACGGTGCCTTGACTGGGCAAATTAAATAATCGCTACTCAAAAGAGTGTTCTGTTTGGACTCTCCTACTGGTAGGCAATGGCAGGACTGTACTCCCCTCCCCACCCACCCCGTTTTGTTTCCATTAACGGTGTGACGGACACAGAGCTTAGGCTGAGGCTCTCTTAGGACCTCAGCAGGAGTTCAGGGCTAGGAAAATAAGAAACACGAAAAATATAAACTTCTGCTTTTACCCAACCAAAGCAATGCAGTAACTTATTACATAACCAGTGCTTGCTGATTTAGTAGTATAATCCAGAAAGGGAAATTGAAACAATTGGGCAAACACAGGATGGAGGGGGCAGCTATCTGAAACAATTCCCAGTAAACATGTTTTCTAGGGCACAGGTATAGACTCCTGGCGTCAGAACACGTGCAGCACAACAGAGGCAAACAGACTGCCTTGCTTTGCTCTGAAAATCTCATGAAGATGTTGTCTCAATACTGAAAAGCCAAGTTTATGAAAACGGACCTCATGGTACTTACTACTTACTTATGCTAATGATTTTGAACAGATGATCAACTCATGATCCATCATTGTCGGACTCAGGCAACTCACGTGGGCCAGAGGCTCCACTGTATAAATATGTTATTTATATTTGTAACTTCTGAGAGTGAAATGGAAATGGTTCTGCTTATTTTAAGCTCAAATCAAGTCCTACAGTTTTAAAATATGGATGACTGTCCTAGTTTTTTGAGCATTCAATGATTTCAACCTAAGTTTGATTTGGAAAGCATGGCTCCAAGTTTCCAACCGTGAGGTCAATGACAAGAACAAAGCAAGCGTGTATTTTCGCAGCCAGCCAGTTAGCTCATCCTCGAGGCAATCCCCACTTCAGTCTAAACAATCCACTCAGTTGCCTGTCTAGCACATCAGTGCAAAGAATCCTCATTATGCAAATCAAGGACCTCAAAATTTAAGCACCTGGTAATTGTGTCTCCAAAAAGCTGAAAACAAGAAATAAAATGTTCCTAAACAAAAAATTTTCAATATCATAAGAAAAATACTTATGAAGCTATTGATCCAGAAAGGTGAATCTGAAATAAGAGCTTTGAGAAAACTTGGTTTGCTGCACATGTTCTAACCCCTCAGGTCTACGACTGTTTCTGCTTGCAAGCACCACAGAGTTCTCAGGAAGGCCAGTGCTTCTCACCTGCCTGGTTACGGGAGGGTGAGAGTTGGAAAGGATGTGGGGCAAGGAATTATACACTGGGTATGTAATAATACCAAAATACAAGAGGAACCTACTTCATTAAGATCATACAATTAATCGAACAGAGTGTATATATAATATCTTCTTTTTTTAAAGCCCTGGATCCAAGGCGTCCAAAGTTATTAAAATAAAGTTCATTCACAGAACAAAAACAAATTTAATCTGAATTGCTTGCAGATACTGCTAATTTTCTTTTTCTTTAAATTAAAAAATGCATTAATGTGAACTATGTGCAGGGTTCTGTCTTAGTAGTGGTGTTGGTGCACATTGTCTCCGACCACTTGTAGAGAAAAAGGTCAGAAGTTATCTGCTCCTGTACTCCACAGGCCCCCGCAGACGGAAGGGCAGAAGATGAAAGCATCCTTCCCGTGTCAGGGAGCAGCACTGGGCGGCATGCTGGGCCGCTGGGAGTCATTGTTGTCCCCTCCTGCCTCGGGGTCCTCCGACAGCTTCAGAGAGCTGGTCTTGCTTGACAGCAGGCTCACATTCTCTTGCGTCAAGGCTGATCCATTCGGAACATCACTGCTGACATTAAAATATATATACAGATGGAATTTTTAAAAAGGAAAGAGAAAAATGCTTACTAAGAAGAATAAAATTAACAGCCTATCACTTAGCACTATGGAAAAAAATGTGAATGACTTCTACATTTAAAATTTTAATTTACAGCTTCTAATCATGTTAGCATAGGGTTGGCAAACTAAAACCGGTCAACTGCCTTTTTGCTAAAAAACAAAAAGAAACCAAAAAAACCTTTGTTGGAGCACAGCCTGTCCACTGTGCATTATCCACTTCTGCTTTCACGCCAGAGCATGGAGCTGTACTCCAGACTGCAAAGCCTGCGTCTGGTGTCAGAGAAGCATGGGGCTGGACTTACTATAGGAGTGTGGGAATGGCTAGGGAGGGTTATAAAACAGACAGTTAAATGTCACAACTTCTCATTCATACAGGTGCCAGTTCATGTCCCAGCTGTTCCACTTCCCAGCCAGCTCCCTGCTTGTCTTCTGGGAAAGCAGTGGAGGACGGCCCAAAGTCTTGGCACCATGCACCCATGTGGGAGACCCAAGAGAAGCTCCTGGCTTCATCTTGGCCCAGCTCTGGCTGTTGTAATCCTTTGAGGAGTGAACCAGTGGACAAGAGGATCTTTTTGTCTCTCCCTCAATCTGTGAAATCTGCCTCTCCAATAAAAATAAAATCTTAAAAAAATATATATAGGAATTATATATACATATATAATAAGAAAATGCAACTTAACAGTATTAGCATAATTCAATGTTAGATCTAAGCTAACAATTCCTAAATAAATGCAAAAATATTCTTACCTCATGTCAGAGTATTTTAAAATACCTTAAATATGTTGAGGTATATTAAACATGAATATGTAGAAGCATTACATATTTTGCTATGTTAAGCACTACAGTGCACTGCAGTATAACTAGATACTACAATGTTTCTCGTGTGTGTGAAAATAACCTTTCCTTCACCTGAATGTCAACGTAAGGTCCTCCGCCGGGCCCTTGGCTGGCGGCTCTGCCTGTCCATTTTCTGTCTGCTTGCTGGCATTCAATTTGCTTTTCATGTCCAGAGAACACTGGTTCTCCTTTGAAAACAGAAATAAAATCAGTTATCTTCTATTTAACAGTCCTGCTGGGGTAGACCAAATAAAAATAACATGAACACAATGATGATCCAGAAATCAAAGAAATATTCCCACACAAGGAGACAAAGATCCCCGCACCACCCCTTGTCAACTATACAAACTGGGCAGCTCGAGATGGCCCGGACCCTTCGCACCCAGAAGCTCATGGCGCCTGGCTCCCATCAGCTCAGCTGTGGCCTTTGTGGCCACACGGGGAGTGAACCAGCAGATGAAGATTTTTCTGCCTCTTCTATCACTAAACCTACCTTTCCAATAAAAATAAGTAAATTTTAAAAAGGGAAGAAAGTACTTAAAAACAATTAAAAATTGAAAAAGCCAAAACATGGTAAATATCTATTATGTGCTTATTGAAAGCAAGACAACTACATCACCAATTATCTGTGTAAGAAAAATGTGAAAGTTATGTAACAGAAGATCAAATTTTATGTAAGTTAAGGGAATGTTTGACTCTGCTAATACACAAATTATCCTGCAATCAATGTTAGTACACGCTCCAATACCCAGTAGCAAGTGGCATCCACAGATGTAGTTGCATAGGACTGCATCTCGTTACAAAAATGTCACTAACAATTTAAAGGCTATGAAGCCTAGAATGCTAGTTGGTGAATAAATTTTTAAAATGTCATTTATTTGAAAGGTAGAGTGGGGCTGGTACGGTAGTATAAAAGGCTAACCCTCAGCCTGCTGGCAGTGCCATCCCATATGCGTGCCAGCTCAGGTCCTGCTTGCTCCGCTTCCCAATCAAGCTCCTTCTTATGTCCTGGGAAAGCTAGGTAGGATGGCCGTGAGCTGGTGTCCCTGAACCAGGTGCGAGTCCCCAAGGAAACGCCTGGCTCGCAGGCTGCATAAGCTCAGCCCTGGCTGTCTCAGTGCTTCCAGCGGATGAAAGATCCCTCTTGGTCTCTCCTTCCCTCTCCATAACTCCAACTTCCCAAGTCAAGAAGAAAATACTAAAAACCAAAACAAAGACAACAGGTAGGGAGATCTTCCATCTGCTGGACCACAGGAGCCCACGCGCTGCGGCTGTCCCCTGCTGCCTCCCACAGTGCACCTGGAAAGGCCGAGACACCACAGTCTGTTACAAACAGGCACAGAGTCCATCTTGTCCACGTTTCTCTCAATCTCCCATCAGAATCACTTGGAGCACCATGTTTACAGTTCTAAACACCCCTAGGATGCTGAGATTTGTGGTATAATCCTAAGGCTCCATCCAATGCTCCCTTCTCATAGAAGCACCTACCATGCTCAGTTCTCGGGTCCTCTTCCCGATCTCCCTTTCCACGTGATGTAGCTCCAAGCTCAGCTGCTCACTGGAGATCATTCCAGGCCATTTGGGAGGCGGTGGCGGGGGCTGTGGCTGGCCTGCCAGGGTACTGGCCTCCCTCTGCAACAGTAGCCTGTTACTAACAGCCTAGTGCATAAAGCCAAGCACACACAGCTCAACACAGTCACTGCATGCCCAATTCCAGCCCGCTCTTAAGTCTGAGAACATGTGTGTCTGCACTAAGAAGTGATACAACCATGAGGCACTACTGTTAGTAACACTGAATGTAGAAAGAGGGAAAAAACAGGAGATTGACACTGGGTCAGAGCCCAGTGTGGCAGGAGTCTGCTAAGCCTTCTCCAGGGGTGCTGGCATCCCACATAGGAGCTAGTTTGCATTTTGGCTGCTCCACTTCTGATCTAGCCCTTTGTGGCCTGAGAAAGCAGCAGAGGACGGCCCAAATCTTTGGGACTCTGTGCCCATGTGGAGATCTTTAGGAAGCTGCTGGCTTCAGATCAGCTTAGCTCTGACCGCTGCAGCCTTTTGGCGAGTGAACAAACGGATGAGACCCTTTCTCCCTGTAAAATTTGCCTTTCAAACACAGGTCGGTACCTCTAGTCCCCGCAGCTGGGTCTGCTGGCTGATCTGGTGGTTCAGCTGCTGCAGCTCCAGACGCAGCTGCTCTCTGTCTGCGCACGGCAGAGGCTTTCCGTGGCCGCCCACTTCTGACATGGATATCCTTTCCCTGTGGTAAGATCCGTAAGACGAATACCACTCAGTTACCATTCAGTGATGGCAAATTCCAAAGCTGCATTTTGCTAAAATATTATTACAAAAAACTTGAAAAACAAAATAGGAAAAGTGAAGCCACTGTAAAGGTTTGGCCAAGGGAGAAGGCTGCACCGTACCTCTCACCGAAGTGTCCCTGAGAAGGCATGCTTTGATGGGGTGAATATGGAGAGCCTCCCCAGGCAGCGTGACTTCCGTACGGACTGTAATCTGTGAACACAAGATGGTTGTGGTATGAAAGAATCCAACACTTAGTTATTTTAAGGTGCCCATAATCTATCAGGCATAAGCATAAGCTATACGCAGCTCTGTGGCAATATAATCACCAAAGTAACAAGATGTTGATGTTTCTTTCCCATTGAACCTTCTGTATTTTTTTCCTACTGCTTAAATCATTTTATAATGAGATTGTATTAACATAAGCGTAAATTAATTTAAAAATAGGCAATATTTATAGGCATTTTAATATATATCATAAACCATATTGAGCTATAACTTTCTTATAAAGACACTTTCATGGTAAGGTTTGAAATTTTTCATTGCCTTGGAAGGTTACAGAAAACAAATGGGGAGGAAATGTGATACTGAGAATCAAATCCAAATGCTCTAGACGCGCATACCTGAAATGCCAAGAGATTTTGTGGGAGCTCCTGCAGGTACCATGGCCTGCATTGGGCCAGCACCCTGATAAATTGTTTTAGAAGTCCGAGAGATGGCACCAAACCGAGAGACTGTTGGCCGGTCTCCAAAAGGAATCAGGTCGTCGTCACTGGCCTCCGCTGCCCTCCGCTGCGGGTCTAACCGTGGGTCTCGCACGCCTTTACCCTCCACGTTCTGGTAAGATGCAGAATACACCGCACACTCAGATCCGAACACAAGGCTAAACAAAATGCAATGCTCTCCCTAGAAAGACTAAACTATTAGTTATTTTTGGCCATTACCTAAAACATTTTTTAAAAAAAGATTCATTAATTTTTTTTGTTTGAAAGGAACATTTACAGAGAGGAGAGACAGAGGGTTCCCCCTTCTAATGGCTGCAACAGTTGGAGCTGGATCAGAAGCGGACAGCACAGACCAGAACCAGTGCCCTTACGGCATGCCAGCACGCCACAGTGGGAATTCGCCTGCCGAGCCACTGCAGAGCCCACTAAAACATCTTTATTAACTGTTGGATTATTCCTTACAGTAGCAAATATATTTTACAGTAACATAACCCAGTACATATACACATATAATAAATATTTATACCTGTATCATATTCATATCATGTACATCTTATGTACATGAAAATATATACATTTTCTCTAGGTAATCCATCCACACAGTAACATCTCAGAAGCACTGTATTAGATCTCTTTTACCTATTTAGAAGGTTTTCAGTTATTATTAAGGCTATAACATAATAACATTTTCAGAAAGCCAATTAGGAAGAAAGCAAGCATGCCAATCCAACTCCTTCTCCCCACAGCAGGACGCGTCCCATGACCCCGGCCCTCCCAGTCAGGGGCTGCCTCTCTGTCCTCTATATTCCTTTTTCTCAGGCAGACATCTAATCATATTTCTTGCTCTATAGGTCATGGCTCTCTGTAGTGGCAGTCAATTCTTTATTATTAAGGATAATCATTTAATCTATGAGAATTTATATAACCTAGGAATCTTTGTAAGAGTTACCAAGGGCAACCAGATGAATAACAACAGTGAAGACACATTCAACCAACAATAACCCCTGCCCCCAAGGGAAGGCCGTTCACTGTAGCACTGTCCATGAGAGTGAAATCACTAATGCTGATTATCAATCATCAACGAGCAATAAGTCATCATCCATTAATAACAATAATAACTTCTATTTGAAGGAGTTATACAGAGAGAGGGCAGAGGGAGGGACGAGGAGATGGATCTCTAGTGAGCTTCCACTCCTCCCACTGTTTCACACCGCAAATGGCTGCATGGCCAGGGATGTGCCAGGCCTGACAGGAGTCAGGGGCTTTCTTCTGTCTCCCTCCTGGGTACAGGAGCCCAAGCACCTGGCTCACCCCGAGCAGGCCATCAGCAGGGTCCCCACCTCATACACACTACATACAGCATACAGCATCACGTCAAGTATCCTGAAATATCTGCAAAAAGCAGCTAAAATGAATGAATCTGAGTTACATAAATCTTAAGTAAAATCTTAAAAACAACAAATTTTGAAAATACTATTGAGTGAAAATATGTTAAGCTGGGGCTGGTACCATGGCTCAACAGGCTAATCCACCACCTTCATCACCACAGATGCTAACTCATGTCCCGGCTGCTCCACTTCCCATCCAGCTCCCTGCCTGTGGCCTGGGGAAGCAGCAGAGGACGGCCCAACGCCTTGGGACCCTGCACCTGCATGGGAGACCCAGAGAAGGCCCTGGCTTCAGATCAGCTCAGCTCCAGCTACTGTGGCCCTCTCTGTCTTTCCTTCTCTGTGTAAATCTGCCTTTCCAATAAAAATTAATTAAATCTTAAAAGAAAAAGTACAATTTATATAGGTCTAAAAGCACGCAAACGGGTCAGGTACTGTGCCACAACAGGTAACCCCACTACCTGAGATGCCTGCAGCCCAGGTGGCACCAGTTCAAATTCTGGCTGTACCACTTCTTTTTTACACTGGAAAGGCAGAAATACAGAGAGGAGGAAATACAGAGAGAGATCTTCTATGTGTTTATTTACTCCCCAGGTGTAAAGCAGGGAGCTGGATGGGAAGCAGGGCTGCCGGGATTAGAACCGGTGCCCACATGGGATCCTAGTGTGTGCAAAGCAAGGACTTTAGCCACTAGGTTACTGCTCAGGCAAGAAAAGATTTTTATTTATACCTGAACGATACTAAAAAATCCACAGAATTCCAACATAATTCAACTGGAGGGTACAGGATTTGGTCTGAAGCTTTTAAGCAAGCTCTCAGTGATTTGTGCCTGAAATACAATGGGATTTATTTGCTTTACTCTCATTTGTAGTACATACCATCATTTCCATGCTTCCTGCTGCCACAGCATCTTTGGGTTTTGCGTCTTTGGTTCCGATGTAGGAGCCGATGGTATCACATGACCAGGGAGAATACTGGCTGTAGTCATTTCCTTTATATTTCCCAGCTGCCTTCAAGTCTTCATCCAGAAACTACAAATGGGTGGGGTGGGGGAGGGTAATGTAGAAAACAGGTCTATGAGTATCAACACAAGGAAATCAAGTAATGTATCAAGTAATGTAATAGGACTTACTTCACAACAGAAATTTCTAAAGAACACACAAAATACAAAATGAGCAAAAAGTGGCATTCCTAGTCTTCCACACACAAGAATCAAGTCTGCACTCAGCTTGGGCAAGGTTTCTTGGGGGTCTCCCCAAGACAGTGATTCAGCCCCTGGCTACATGTACTGGGCCTCCCCAGTGCTGATGCCTGCGCAGTGGACACACACAGAGGCACACAGGAACAAGCCAGCCCAATCATCCGGGCTAGTGGAGGATGCTGAGTGCCTCGTGAGAGGATGGAAAGCAAAACAGGTCGGACAATTCTCTCTACCAAGCTGCATAGCCAGTGTCTGGGTCTATGAGTGCACTAGGTGAACCTAGTGAGGCAACTGGCCTTGAAAAAATTCTTTCCCCGGTGCAACAACGCTGACAGTATCTCAGAACTATCAAAAGCACTCAAGTCACACCCTGGGAACAATCTTCTCCACATCGGGGTCTCTAAGGCGTCATCAAAGGCCATCTCCTCACCCCCAGGTGCTGATGTAGTGTGACAGCAAGCAGTGCCCCTTCCCTTACAGATCAGGAAAATAAAAGAACTGAAACATTTGTCCCACCCAGCGTCCTCCATCCATGCCTTGACCCTCTCCACCCTAATTAGAGACCCATGTGGGCGTGCATTCCTCTTCATTATGTAAACAATATTAAAAATAAAACAGGGCTTGGCGTGGTGGCCTAGTAGTTAAAGTCCTTGCCTTGCACGTGCCAGGATCCCATGTGGGCGTCAGTTCTAATCCCAGCAGCCCCACTTCCCATCCAGCTCCCTGCTTGTGGCCTGGGAAGCAGCTGAAGACGGCCCAAAGCCTTGGCACCTTGCACCCACATGGGAGACCCGGAAGAAGCTCCAGGCTCCTGGCTTCATATTGGCTCAGTTCCAGCCTTTGCAGCCATTTGGGGAGTGAACCATCTGACAGAAGATTTTCCTTCCTGTGTCTCCTCTTCTCTGTATATCTGACTTTACAATGAAAGTAAATCTTAAAAATAAAACAAAGTTTAAACAAATGTGCCTACTTCCTCTTGATGAAAGGCAGGAGGCAATGTTGGTGAAGGAGCAAAAGGAGGAGGAGAGATGACCTTTCTCTCTTCTAGCTGGGCCATTATCTCCTTCCGGCGGCGATGCAGCTCATCTAGACTGGGATGGGGCTGGGGAGGTGGAGGAAGCCGGCTATAAGGAGGCTCCTGAAAATGGAAAAGTTAGTTAGCACTGGAAAAAAAAAAAAGCTCAAAATACATAAATTCACTTAAATATATTGACAGACACCGTCCTATCATCTGGAAGCAAAGCTTAACAGAGAAAAACAAAACAAGTCTCTCCCCCAGCTCTCAGCGGCTCCGAAAGAGCTAAAGTTAGGTTTCTTTTTTATATATCTAATAGATCTACAATTATTACAAACATCCAAAGATCAGAAGGTTAGACTTGTTATTTGGCAGGGTCTGGAGTAACGGTGAGTTTTTCCCAACAATACGTTCTGTAAAACCTATTTGAATTATAAAAAGATAAAAGGGAAAAGCTTTCTTTTAAAATTATCAAAGAGCTAGTGGGAAAAAAAATCACTACAACAAAAAAATTAATTATTAAGTCTAAGAATAAAAACCAAACAAAACATAAAACAAAACAAACCCAGCATACTCTGGGGTACGGGGCTCTGATCTGAGAGGGATGAGGAGCCACCGGATAGTAACCCTCCATCTGCTGGTATCTCTCTCTGGATTCCGGCACGTAGGACGGCACTGCTGCAGGAGGAACCTCGATGGCAATAGGGCTTTCCCGGAAAATTTCTTCTCTTGTGTAAGACTGAGCAGGGTATACGCGGCGGCCATCATAGTGAGGTGGGTACACAGGCGGGTACTGCTGTGGCTGTGTGCCATACTGAGAGCTCACGACGCGGTCCTGAAGGTAGGCTGGATAGTGGTCCAAGTAGGGAGGGCCAGGCTCCGGAGCGGACGGTGCAGGGCGGACAAAGCGGGACACACACGGTGGTGGTGGAGTGTAGTACACTCCTACACAAGAGACCAACCAAATGCAACAATCAGTCAACCAAGTTTTACATGCAAGAATTTAAAAAATGGAGAAACACAAACATTAATAATCCACTTATTTCTCTTTGATGTTTTCCTCTTTCTCACAAAGTTGCTGAGGAAAAATAGAACCCAGGGGCTGATGCATGGCTCAATTTGCTAATTCTCTGACTGCAAGCACTAGCATCCCATTTGGGTACCAGCCCATGTTCCAGTTGCTCCAGTTCTCATCCAGCTCCCAGCTTATGGCCTGGACAAGCAGCTGCGGATGGCCCAAGTCCTTAGGACCCTGCACCCATGTGGGAGATCCCACAGAAGCTCCTGGCTCCTGTGCCTGATCAGTCAGCACAGCTCAGCTCTGGCTGCTGGTGGTCACTTGGGGAGTGAACTAGAGGATGGAAGATCTCTCTGTAAATTTTTCCAATAAAATAAATAAATCTTAAAAAAAGGAAAGGGAAAAAGCCAAACTCGCCCTTAAAAGTCATTGAAAAAACTAATCTATGCACAGCTAAGATAACAGATCGGGTGTGATGTATTTAATGGAAAGCAGACGTCAGAAAATTCCAGAAAATGACACTCCCCTTAGAGCTGCTCCCACTGCCTGCGTTTTGAATGTGACAGTAACTGGAGGAGAGGTGTGGCAGACCAGAGGTCTGTTCTGCTGGTAAGGATTTAGGTCTAGAGCTTGTGGAAGTAGGCTCTCACTGTCCAACTGCTGCTCGAGTGATCTGACGCCAGAAGCGCAGGCCTCAGCTTGCCCTTGTAGCAGGTGCTCCTGGTACTAGGTCTGCTGCTGTGGTAATCTGGGCTCTCTCCTGGAGGCCAAGTTTCTAGTACTTTCATTGTAGGCATGTAAAGCCTATACTGGACCTCCTATTTCAAGCAGCTGGCAGGATGTCTGTTCGATGCAGTTGAACCCTGACCATACACTTGTCTTATGGGTGGCACAGACCCAGAGCTGCACCGGAAGCAGAGCGGCTGAGACTCAGAGGGCTCCACTGGGAGATCACGAATTTCCTGAGCAGTGCCTTAACCATGGCAAGCAAATGCTCGCTCTACAGTGCTCTTTCTTTTTTAAAGATTTGTCTGTTTTTCCTGGAAAGCCAGATTTATACAGAGATGGAGACAAGAGACAAAGATCTTCTACCCACTGGTTTACCCCACAAGTGGCTACAATGGCCAGAGTTGAGCTGATCTAAAGCCAGGAGTCAGGAGCCTCTTCCCAGTCTCCCACACAGGTGCAGGGTTCCAAGGCTTTGGGCCACGCTTGACTGCTTTCCCAGGCCACAGGCAGGGAGCTGGAAGGGAAGTGGAGCACCCAGGATATGAACTAGTACCCACATGAGATCCTGGTGTGTGCAAGGCAAAGACTTTGGCCACTATGCTATCATGCTGGGCCCCTCCTCTACAGTTTTACAATCATTCAGTGTACAGTCTACCTCAATCATTCATTTCTTTGCAGAGCTGGTATTATCAATTAACCCCAAACTTTCAAAATTTATCTATTTTCTAAGCCCCTTTCTTTTTATCACACCAATTCATTTCTCAACATACCTGATTAGTAACTTCGTAATTCCTCAGTTCTAATCTATTATCTTCTAATCATTCATAGATTTTCCTTTCTATTCCCAATACCTTTCTTTTTTTGTCGGAAAGGCAGATATACAGAGACGAGGAGAGACAGAGGAAGATCCTCCATCTGATGGTTCATTCCCAAAGCACCTGCAACAGCCGGAGCTGAGCCAATCCGAAGCCAGGAGCCAGGAGCCTCCACCAGATCTCCCATCCAGTAGCAGGGGCTTTGGGCCATCCTTGACTGCCTCCTCAGGCCACAGGCAGGGAGCAGATGGGAAGTGGGGTCGCCGGGATCAGAAGTGGCGCCCATATGGGATCCGGTGTGTTCAAGGCGAGGACTTTAACAGCAATGCTATCGCGCCGGGCTCAATTCCTTTATTTATAGGCATTTCTTCCATAAAATGTTTGCAAGGTTGAGGTTTTCAATTACCTCCCTCTAGTCAATTTCTACCAAGCTACTGTTACTAACCAGTATGACTGACCTATTTATTTCACTTATTTTTTAGAGGTGGGGAATGCTTGGTTTATGGACCACAAAAGATTGTAAAATCATTTAGTCTGGCCCTGCTAAAGCCAACTAATTGCAGGTGGACTAGTTGCAGAATTCACTAAATCTTTAGCAGGTTAACTTTTCAATTTACTAATTATGTATGGCCCATGAATGGAATCAATATGCAAATGGCCTTTGGTAGTTCTCCATTCCTGATTTATTCACATGACAGACAGGGGCAGAAACAGGCAGAGATAAACAGAGTGAGATCTTTTATCTGCTGCTTCACTCTCCGAATACCCAACATTTGGGACCTGCTCAAGACAAAGCAATGAGCCCCAAAGTCAATGCTGCTCCCACAAAGGGGGAGAGGCCCAGGCGCCTGAGTCATCAACCCCTAGCTCCAGGGAGTGCATGCCGTGCCAGCTGGAGGAAGCGCCAGAGCTTATGCCTGAACCCAGGCACACATATGCAAAGCAGGCGCCTGGCACTCTGGCTCAACCTCCACCTGGAAGCACCTTACATGCTCTACTTCCCCTGGGCATGGGAGAGCAGCCTTGGGTCCCGTGTAGGAGATCCAGAAGCTCCTGGCTTAAGGCGGACTCAGCTCCGACCACTGCAGCCACTTGCGGAGCGTACCAGCAGATGAAAGCTCTTTCTGTCTCTCCTCTCCGTAAATCTGCCTTAAAAAAATAATAAAATAAAAAATAAAATATGTAAACATACACAACGCAAACCAGTATATTAAATATTGTGCCAAACATCTGCTACCAATTTCTTAATTACTTTTTAACACACAAATATATATTATTCTCAAGCATACTTTTATCCTTCACTTTTTATACTTCTCTTCTCTTTTTTATACTTCACTTTTTATAATTCTCTATTGTAAATGCTCGTAGAGTATGCAAACTCGGGCCCATGTTGTGGTATAGCCAGTTCATCCTCTGTCCGTGACACCAGTATCCCACAAGGTGCTGGTCAAGTCCTTGTTGCTTTACCCCCAACCCAGCTTCTGGCTAACGGCCTGGGAAAGGAGAAGGATGGGCTAACTCCTAACCCTGGAGGAGGCTCCTGGCTTCAAACCAGCCCAGCCCTCACCATTGTGGCCATTTAGGGAGTGAATCTGAGAATGGAAGACTTTCCTCCCCTTCTCTCTACAATTCTGCCTTTCAAATAAAAATGAATGAATCTTTTTAAGAAATATATGAAGTTGTACGCACACCTATCAGACCAGCCCTGACCATTGAGACTATCAGCAGAGTGGACTACCAGAAGGCATATCCCTCCCTGCCGACAGCTGGGGTGGCTAGGAGCAAGGAGTCTCAACTGGATCTCCCATGGGGTGGTGGGGCCCATGGGTGCTGGGCCACGTTTTTCCAGGCCCCGTGCAGTGCAGCAGTAACATGGCTCGCAGAGTTGAGCCGCTGCAGTACATTGGGTTAGTCTTTGACGAGAGCTGGTGGATGGGATCTGACCTACTCAAGAACTGGTATAACCAGCCTGTCAGGCAACACATTCTGGGTTTGATTCCACGTTCCAGATGGAGGAAGCCTCTGTCCTGTATCTGTACATAAACTGCATTTTATGCAACTGCTGTTGGTAAAGCAGCTTGACTTTTTCTGCTTTGCCTCACTGACTTCATGCTATTTCCTTGTGGTGCAGGGGTTGAGCTGCCACTTGCCAAGTTAGTGCTCACACTGGAGCAATGGTTTGAGTCCTAACTACCCTGCTGCTGGTCTACTCTGATAACATGCATAGGAGAGCACCTGAAGGCTTAAGCAACTGGGCCCACATCACTTCTGTGGGAGACCAGAGTGGAGCTCTTGGCTTCTGGTTGTAACTTGGCCCAGCTCAGCAGCTGTTAGGGACACTTGGGGAGTGAACCAACAGATGAAAAGATCTTTCTCTCCCTCTCTGTCACTCTTTCAAATAAATAAATGTCGTCATTTGTCCTACTAAAGTATTAAAAATATATTTGTTGCTTTGAACTGTTAACTCTAAGAAGAGGAACAAGGTAAGCTGAAGGTCATCACCCTGCTGGTAAGGCGCTGGTTCAAACGGCGGAGCAGCTCCTCGAGGGTCCTGATAGTACACATCTGCCTGTTGGGCTGGATACAGCTGAGAGCCGCGCGGGACCATCTGCAGCGGTTTGGTGACAGGCATAGGAGGCAGGTCTGCAGGTCCCCTTGGTGGTACGGGATGTGGATTCACAGGCAAGGCAGAAATACTCTTCGGGACAGATTCTAACCTAAAGAATATGCAAATAAAGCCTCAGAGCTCTGATAACTGCAATGTACAAAAACTGTTACATGTAAAATGATCTGGGACTCCAGTTTACCCAGCAGTCATCTCATCCTGTTTATCTATGTGGTTACTTGAAAATCATGAAAACAGGAAACAAAGAAAAAAAAATCAAAAATAGTTTTTTTATAAAAGCAAAATGTCAAGGAACAGCTACGAAAGCAGTTGAGAAAAACGACGTACAGGTCAGGAGGGGACCCGGGAGCACTGCTGCTCAGATGGTCCAGCTTGCCCGGCTTGAGGCCGGCGTCGTAGCTGGGGTCCGTCCCTCGAGGAATCAGCTGTGTTGCGGAACCGCCTGCCGAGACGATTCCATTTGGCAGAGCCGGTGGTTTCCTGTTGGGCATCTCCACTGCGCTTTCATCTGGAAGGATAGCTGCTGAAGGCAGGCCCACCTCATTCAGCTGACCCAAAGAGGCACTCAGTGGCCTCCGCGGAGCCAGACGCTTGTTCATCTTCCGAAATCTATATGAAAAGCAAAGGCACACATCAAACAATCAAATAAAACCCTCAGATATCGAAGCAGCCAAAAAGTAAAATGTACTTAGGAACACATTTTACTATAACGTATGTTCAGATTTCTACTTTTAGTTTATTAAAGTGGATAGAAAAATCTATATGATAGTTTTTGAAACGTTTAACTTTCCAGCCTTTCCTAATTAGATAGCAGCCCAAAAGCACTGTTTCCCAGGGCCCTTCTGTAACAACCGGGGAGGCTGAGCACAGCTCCCATGTGTACGGGCCATGCACTACTTCAGTGACTCAGCGCTGTTCTAAACACAGAGTCCACTGGTCTCTCTATTACAGACCTGCACACGACTAGCCTTCCACGTCACTTCTCTACCAACCATTCTTTTTTTTTTTTTTTAATTGTGGTATTTATTTTACCTCTGCAATTGTTTCAAATAAAATAATTGTCTTCTGAAAAAAAAAACCTGTGTTATTTATACTCCTCATACGATAATCCTAAGAAGCTGTGAATACATTATTTTGCGGTGTGATTAAAATTGCAAAGACTGAGACACGCCTGTCCTGTTAGTTGTCCAACTGAGCCAATGTCATCATGAGTTCTTGCGAAAGGGTTGAGAGTGCCACAGTCAGACAGGAGATAAGATAACAGAAACATATGGAGTGAAATGTTTAGAAAATTGTAAACTCTGGCTCAGTGAAATCCATTTTGAGGGTCTAACTTCAAGAACTTTAAGATAATAAACTTGTTATTGTTCTTAAAGACTATTTAACAATAAAAACTCAGCACTCTATGGTTTTCTTTCTAAATGTTAAAATATTCTGGGGTCATGTATGAAACAGCATGCCCAGCTGCTGCCTTAGATGCTGGCGCCAGTGCAAATCCCAGCCAGCTCACTCTTGATCCAGTTCCCTGCTACTGGCCTGGGAAAGCAATGACAGATTATGGAAGTAAATGGTCCCCTGCGACCTATGTGGGCAACCCAAAAGCAGCTCTTGCTTTCTGCCTGGCCCAGTGCTAGCCACTGTGGCCATCTGAGGAGTGACCCAAGGTAAGTCTCTTCCCCTCTAAAATTTCTTTATTTTTATTGAAGAGGTAGATGAGATTTACAGAGAGGACAGAGAAGAGATCTTCCATTCACTGGTTCACTCCCCAAATGGCCACAGTGGCCAGAACTGGTCTATTCAAAGTCAGAAACCAGAAGCTTTTTCTGGGTCTCTCACACGGGTGCAGGGCCCCAAGGCTTTGGGCCATCCTCGAATGCTTTCCCAGGCCACAAGCAGGGAGCCGGGTGGGAAGAGGAGCTGGCAGGACACAAACTGATGCCCAGAGGGGACCCTGGAGCTTGCAAGAGAAGGATGTAGCCATTGAGCCATAGTGCCAAGCTGTGTCTCTCCCTCTCTCTACCCAACAGCCTTACAGTTCACTGTAGCATGCAGCACACTGAGTTGGAAAGACTGAAGGGAGAATGCAAGGTTCTCAAGTTTTCCATAGATTGTGGCTCTCACCACAGCTAGCACATGGCCACATCCCTGCGTGTACCCTTAACTGCCTTCCACTTCACGCATCTGCCAATGCCCATGGAATGTCAGTCTTTACATTTACTTTAGTTGATGAAACAGGTTAATCATCATGAGTCTAATCTCTCAAAGGTTTATATTTCAGAATTTCCCTAGTCATATACAAGTATTCATTGTTTTCAAATAAATTATTTTGTGAAGACATTAATAATTATAATGCAGACATGTAACTGGGATTTCAGAGTTTGATATTTAAGAGAAAATAAAGCTTTCATAACACCAAGCTTTACCTAAAGGCAGTTCACTTCTTCAATCGTTCAATTCACTGCTTAATCCCAGGGAATTTGCTACTCCACTTCATACAGGTCCTAAGTATGACTAATTCTTACAAAGCTTATTTGATCCTTTTTGAAGCTAATGTAAACAGGATTTTAAATTTCAGCCTTCTAAAAAAAGTAGTTACATGTTCCTTTATAGTTTATATGAGACCTATTTATTTTTATTGGAAAGGCAGATTTACAGAGAGGAGAGAAAGATGTTCAATCCGCTGATTCACTCCCCAAGTGGCCGCAACAGTCAGAGACGAGCTTATCCGAAGTCAAGAGCCAGGAGCCTCTTGTGGGTCTCCCACATAAGCTGGGCCCCTTTCTGCTCCTTTGCTAGGTCACTGCAGGGCACTTGTACCAGCATTCTGATCTGGGAAGCTAGCACTGCAGGAGGCAGCTTGATCCACGGCATCACAAGGTCAGTTCCCAAATCAATTCACTTGTATGATTTTTAGGATTCTCACCCTTACTAAATTCTCATTTCTTTCATTTCTAGAACTAGCCTCTTGAGCTGCATTAACAATTTTATGGCTTTTTTTGGGACACATATAGCTATGCTTTTGTAGTCTTACTAGCAGAAAATTTTGCTTTTTCTTGATATTAGTATAAATGGATCAAATACTTTACAAAATTTATTACCATTTGAAAAATTATTTATGATATTTCTATTTTACTAAGAAAATCTTCCAGCTGACACTGGATTTATTCATTTGGTTTTTTGTTATCTTTGGATATGAACACACTACATTTTTCTTTCAATTCAAGAAAGTTACATTGTACAATCTTTGCAGTGATTATTTAAATAGAGTATCACTGAATTGTTTTAATTGGGGGATTGTAAATATCAATATGAGAGATAAATTTACAATTTTAATGTTATCTTTCTTAAATTTTTGGTGTTACACTGGCCTTATAGAAAATTCAGGTTTGGGGTCTGGTACAATGACTAAATTGGCTAATCTTCCACCTCCAAGCACCAACATCCCATATGAGCACTTGTTCATGTCCTGGCTGCTCCACTTCCCTTCCAGCTCCCTGCCTGTGGCCCGGGAAAGCAGTCGAGGACGGCCCAAAGCCTTGGGACCCTGCACCCATGTGGGAGACCTGGAAGAAGCTCCTGGCTCCTGGCTTTGGATCGGCTCTAGCACCAGATGCTGAGGCCACTTGGGAAGTGAATCAGCAGATGGAAGATCTTCCTCTCTATATTTCTACCTTTCCAATTAAAATAAATAAATAAATCTTAAAACAAACAAACCAACCAAACCAAACCAAGGTTTTCCACTATTCAATGTGCTGGGAAATTTAACATTATTAGAATTATCTGGTCACTGAAGTTGGTTCAGAACATGTAAAACTGATTTTTGCCAAGGGCAAATTTCTCCACGAGAAAAATAATATAATTCGTTAAAATCACATAAACTTGATGGATTTTAATTTTTTTTTTACAATAAAAATTATTGATTTTGCAGTTTGTAAGCCACAGTAGTTTCCTATGTAATGTAATGAAAATGGAAAAAAAATCTCCCTTTTCTTTTGGAAATGATGTATTGCATAAATACAAAGGTCGCACTTACTGAGGAGGCCAACCTGTGCTAGGACTGCTCTGGGTGTCTCCCCTGGCTCCGCCCACACTTACTTTTCCAGCTCCTCCTGGGAGTGCGCGAAGGTGCAGCTGGCCCCACGAGGGCATCCTCCTCTCTGCTTCATGTCGCGACACATGTAGGTTTTGTATTTGCTGTGCTGTGGAGCCTAGGACCACAATCAGAACGTCAGAGAGCAGTGTTCATCTCGTACTGCCAGCTGAGCTAGATGAGCGTCACACCAAACCACGCTTGTCTGAAGCATCAAGAAGCAAAGTGATGCAAAGATTTTCTATCTGAAATCTCAGGTAGTCCAAAAATAAAATGAGTAATTTTGAAGCATGGATCATTACACGCATTTTGGAATAAACTGCACAGGACTCTGATCATTTTTCAAGGTTCATAATGTAAAAACAAGAGACTAGAGCAGTTTAAAATGCATAAACTTCTAATATTTGCTTCTTGCAGTGTTCAGTGTAACAGATGTGCTTTCTTACGACACAACACAAACAAAAGGTCACAGAAATGAAAAATATACTATCACATACTGTAATGATATGCAGATCATACCAAGTAAAATATTTTAAAAGGTACAAATGAAGCTATGTATAATACAAGGATAAAGCAGATCTGAAAGTCAGTCAATGAGACATCAAACAACACTAAACGGAACCACAGTGTGTATATGTTAACATAGTGGCAAGCCTTAAACGACAACCTAATCGTTTTTATTATATTCTTCATGATGTCCAATGGAGTAAAGAATTAAAAACTGTAGGCTTTTTCTTTATCATTAAAATTTGTTTATTTTGAGATAGGCAGAGCTCTTATTTGCTTATTGCTTACTACCCCCAAGATGGGGTCTAGACCAGGCGCACAGCCAGGAGCTGCGTGGAACTACAGGCTGTCCCCCACAAACGTGACGCACTTCAGCCAGCACTGCTGCCCCCAGGGCTGCCTGAGCCACGTCCTAACATGTGAACACCGAACTCAGGTATATTTTTCCCAGTAAATCTCTGATTTGTTTAAATCAGTTAGGAATATTACATCCAGAATATTAGCAAGATAGTTTATTTTTTGCCTCACAAATAAAAAGTACTGAATGATCTATTGTTAACATTCACTTGAGTCAGGTAAATTACAATAAGGTTTTATGCTCACAGCCTCACTAATATAAAATAAAACATCTAATTAACAAATTCAAAGGGAAAAATAAAATTATTGGTAATATCACTTAAAACTCTAGTTATAACCTGAGGCACTGCATTTTACTGTCATACATTTCATTTTGAAAAAAACTGGATAAAATTTGATCTACTGGCTTAAGAGATAATAAAAAGTAGAAAAATACTAATACCAACAAAAATGTGAACAGTGTTGGGGAGACAGAATTAGCATTAAGGAGTGACCTATTGTCAAAGTAAAAAAATCATGTTGTTTAAGTGTCATAAACTTGAACACAGATCTATTGTGTCCCAATCAATGGGAAAAGTGATCCCGGCACAACATTGAATCAATAGAGATTATTTAAATTTAATACTGTGAGATAAAATTACCAGTCTAATATAGTAAATATAGTAAAAATCTATAGTAATATAGTAATATAGTAATATAGTAAAATCTGGCTTCTAGGCATGCGAAAGCATTTTGCAGTTGATGGCATCAGCCTCAACACACGCATGTTATTTTTTAGCGTGCCTTGCAGGTTGATCTTTTGCCACGAGCAGAGGTGGGAGATGTCCCTGAGCTATGGTTAAGCAGACACCGCAGCCTGAGAGGACGGGAACAGGCCTCAGCGGCAGGCTGAGCCCAGGACCGAGGCCTCTGAACAACACTACAGGCACAGCTCTGCGGTTCACACCACGGCCGGTGTGCCTGTGCCCGAGGGCACGCTCAGAGCTGACCGTCAGAAGGAGTGGGCACAGGCTGAGACACCGCAGGCAGCAGGCAGCCCCTCTGAGGCTCCGCGGGGCCCTGCTGGCCCTCCAGCTCCGAGGATGGCCACTCTGGCTGGCACCCAAGGCTCCGCGGGGCCCTGCTGGCCCTCCAGCTCCGAGGATGGCCACTCTGGCTGGCACCCAAGTTGCACACTTCCCTCTTACCTGCTGCTGATCTGCCCCTTTCTTGCTGTGGTTCTGAATATAATCCACCAGCCCATGTACCACTGTACGTACAGCAACCAGCCCATTTTCTAGTTGCTCCCAAGTTGGAGGAGGAGCATCTATACAACAAATTAAAAGAGAAAAAAACTTAAGTATAAAGTTATTTGATATGTTACCAATATTAAATTAATAAAGGATTGTCAGCATTTCAGCAACATCAAGTTATGCTTCATACTGTTCAGATAATAGTTTATTTGCCTAATCATTATTTTAAAGAAGTGGATACATCCTTTCAAAGCTGAAGTGGCAAACTGAAGCAACCACAAGCAAAAGAAAGCTGACATAGAAGAATGAGGCAGGCCAGACAAAACTGGCCCCCGCCTCAGACCCTGAAAGAGGGCACGGGCAGTGACAGGAGACGCGCTGACTTGGCGATCTCATCTTTCAGCTAACGGGTAGGGTCATTACTCAGCTTTAAGGAGTTACTGTCATGCAAAGGTCCAAGACTGGCACTGCAAAATCCATCATTATTTCCCAGATAAACCCCAAAGTTGAGATTTTTAAACTAGTAGATTTTATGCTAGTTTTTAAAGTGCCAGCACCTAACAAATGTAGATCATTGTGCAGATGAATTGTTTGAAACAAACAAAATTTAACTGTGGACGGCCTGCAGGCAACACATCTGCATGCTTATTATAAGGTAAACAGAGTTCATTTGTAAAGATTTATTCATTGCAAGGCAGAGCAAGAGAGAGAGGTAGTGAGAGATCTTCAATTTGCCATTTCACTACCAAACTGGCTATGAAAGCCAGGGCTGATCCAGGCCGCAGCCAGGCACCCAGAGCCCTCTCCGGGTCTCACACACGGGTATCAAGGACCAAGGCATGGATCCACCTTCCAATGACTTTCTCAAGGCAGAGCAGGCAGCATTTGAATTCACATCTTAACATTATGGGATACCAGCATCACAGCAGCAGCTTAATCCACCAGTCCACAACGTTGGCCCCTATTTGTTTTTCTTTTTTTCCTTCTCCATATAAAAGGCACAGTGACACAGAAAAATGGACAGAGGCAGAAAGCTACTCCCACCTACTGGTTCACCACCCAGAAGCCTTCAACTGCCAGAGCAGGGCCAGGCTAAACGCTGAAGCCCAAGTCTTGCTCATAGGTGGCTGGAACCGAACTACTTATGCATTAGCAGTAAGTTAAATCAGAAGTAGAGCCAGGATTCAAACCAGGAACCCAGAAATGAGACGCACGTGTCTCAATGGCTATGCCACACATCCACCTCCATAAACAAAATTCAAGTAAATGGCCACTTCAAAAAGTGGCTTCCCCCAAATTTTTAACTTAGTTTTATTTACTTGAGAAGCAGACAGTCGTTCCACACACAGCTCACTCTTCCAATGCCTACAATGGCTAGCCTGAAGCCAGCAAGCCAATAATTTGAGCCATCCTAGCAGCTGATAAGTTGAACAAAGAGAAGTGTGGCACATATGGATAGAATTCTATCTTTTTCTTGTGTTTGTGGAAATAGAGAGGTCCCCCTGACCTTTGGCGTTGCCAGTCTTCCCATTAGCTCGGGAAGGGGAACTTGTCCTGGGAAAGTCACTGACAGGTGGGTGGATTTACAAAGAGCAGGGGCTGTATGGTTCCTGGCTCAGGACCCAAACTGCCTACCTACCTAAACCATTTTATTGCCTCCTCAGAGATTTCGACTTATCATATAGAAAATTTAGACAGGAGTTAGAAAAAGCCTCTTTGAGGTTACATTTGAATAAAAATCTAAGGAAAAAGGATCTGAATGTGGCTAGTGGACATATAAGAGACCTTGTGAATGTTGTCTGTCATGATGGAGTTGACTGAATAGAGAGTATGAAATAAGGCTGGGGCCCGGCGGCGTGGCCTAGTGGCTAAGGTCCTCACCTTGAATACACCAGGATCCCATATGGGCGCCGGTTCTAATCCCGGCTGCTCCACTTCTCATCCAGCTCCCTGCTTGTGGCCTGGGAAAGCAGCTGAGGACAGCCCAAAGCTTTGGGACCCTGCACCCGTGTGGGAGACCCAGAAGGAAGTTCTGGATCCTGGCTTCAGATTGGCGCAGCACCAGCCGTTGCGCTCACTTGGGGAGTGAATCATCAGACGGAAAATCATCCTCTCTGTATATCTGATTTTGTAATAAAAATAAATAAATCTTTAAAAAAAAAAAAAAAAAAGAAGGCTGGAGAATGGTAACGAAGACTAGCCCATGCAAGGCATTACAGATTAGAACAAAGATTTCAGCCTTTACTCCAAGTGGCACTGGAGCATAGACAATAGGAGACTCTCCCATAACTGACGGTGAGATGAGGGTGGCAGCAGTGAAGGGATTAAGAAGCAGATGGATTCCCAAGGATGGAAGATCTTTTCTCTGCTTCTCGCTCTTGCTAACTCTGCTTTTCAGATAATAAAAATATATACAGATGAAAACGCTGCTGTAACATTGCGGGGTGATGCGTATTTCTAGACAAATAAGGTTTAAATGCTTCTAGATATCCAGAGTTGCTAGATACTGAGAAAGCAATCAAGCAATAAGGCCTGTTTTGGGTACATACTTCAGCGGTACAAGATCATGAACTATGACATTAATTTATGTACTACCAAAAGATAATAACACTTAATGATGGCATGTCGTGATACAAAGATGCTTGAGTTTAGCTCTGGGTGGAGCTGTGGTTGGCTGGCTCCATGCTGCAGACAGGTGGCATCCCCAGTAGGTGCTGGCTCAAGTCCTCGTTGTTCCCTTTCTGATTCGCTCCTTGCTAACGGCTTGTGAATGCAGTGAAAGACGGTAGATACTTGAGCCCTTTGCCACTCACCTGGGAGACCTGGACAAACTTCCTGCTTTCAGCCTGGCTGAGCCCTGACTGTCACAGTCACTTAGATAGTAAACCAGCAGATGGAAGAGCTCTGGGTAACTCTAGCTTTCAAATGAATAAATACCTCTTTAAAATAAAAAATGGTGAGGGAAGGCGAACTCAGGACTGATGAAACTGGGAGTCACATCAATGATACTTTTTTTTTTTGCCATAAAATATTTAATGTCACAAGACTATAGGGTTGGGCCTAGCGCAACGGCTCAACTGGAGAATGCTTCCCCTTCAGGCACCAGAATCCCACATGGGCGCTGGTTCGTGTCCTGGCCACTTCCCATCTAGCTCCTTACTTGTGGTCTGGGAAAACAGTAGAGGATGGGCCAAAGTCTTGGGATATTGCAACCACATGGGAGACCTACGGGAAGCTCCTGGCTCCTGCAGCCACTCAGGGAGTGAACCAGTGGATGGAAGATCTTTCTCTGTAAATCTGCCTTTTCAGCAAAAATAAATCTTAAATAAATAAACACATAAACAAAACTAAAAAACTCATTAAGAAGACTGTGAGGTCAGTGTTGTGGCATAGCACGCTGACATCTGACATCTTACACTCCACTGGAGCACAAGTTCATTTCTGAACTGTTCTGCTCTGGCCATTTGGGAAGTGAGCCAGCATACGGACAAATTCTGTCTTTCCCTCTCTCTCTGTAACCCTGCCTCTCAAATAAATAAATCTCTTAAAATAAAATAAGACAAAAAGCCGCAGACTGGAGTACATGCTTGCCCCAGCAGTTAACATGCAGCAGGGTGCCTATACCCCCACATTTAGGTGTCTGCGTTGAGAACGTGGTCCCACTTCTAACTTCCCTTCCCGATAACATGTACCCTGAGGCAGCGGACAGCAACTCAAGGACTTTACCCTTGAAAATGCCTGGGAAAGCAGCAGATGACAGCATAGGTCCTTGGGCCTCTGTATCCATGTGAGAGACTGAGAACAAGTTCCTGGCTCTGGACAGGTACCCCTACGAGATTCTGGCACCACATGCTGAGGCTTAGTCTGCTTTGCTGTGGTGCCAGGCCTCAGAGATTAAATGTAAGAAAAAATTATGAAATGCGAAACACAAAGGAAATGGAATTAGAAACTGATAAACAACTAGTGAATATTAAGAAAGTTTCAGCTGGTACCCATAAGGGGTGCTTCTTCGTGTGCCAGCTGCTCCTCTTGGATGCAGTTCACTGCCGACGACAGGAGAAGGCAGTGGAGGATGGCTCCTGGCTTCGGACTGGCCCAGCCCCAGCCACCTGCCTGCCTTGGGAGTTCAGCTACGGCCTTGTGGCCATCTGGGGAGTGACCCAGCAGAGGGAAGATCACTTTCTTTTTCTCTCCTTTTCTCTGTAATTCAATTCCCCTTTCAAATAATTTTATTAAAAAATATAAAAATAGTGATGGACATAGTTTGGGCAAAAGATGAGAATGGGAAGATCCAACACAATTTTGTAATAAGATGAAGTATCAACAATAAGGACAAAGGTTGGCATGATGGTGCCACCGGACAAGACCAAGGACAGAAACTAAAGCCTGGGAATTCTAGAGGAACACAACACCAGGCAGCCAAGTCCCCGAGCAGCACTGCGGCGTCCAGTGGAACTTCCTGGGCTTACCTGGACTAGGGTCAATGTTCGCCAACAGCTCCAAGTGGGGTCTCAGTCGGTTCAGGTTTGCTGGGTCTCCAGTCCGCTGCAGAGCAATTGTCAGTTCCTGAACACTTTGTGCAAAAGAGGCTGGGGTCTGCAACTTAAAAGTAGATAGATGTTAGCTATCCAAAAGCAAAACAATCTAAGAATGAAAATTATTTACAACATTATGCTTTTTCAATTTATTAAGCTTTTCTTCTCTATACATTTAGTAAAACTGGATTATTTGCCACCCAGACAAAGCTGCATCCATAGGCTGGTGTACTGTATAAGGTCTGTTCCCTCAGCCATCATATTTTTCAAACGTGAGAACGTTTTCAGTTCCTCAATTTTAAAGTACTCTTTCTACTCTACATTCTAGAGCACTGTGTTTAGATCTAGGAGTGGTCTGTGAAGTAAAACCGGGGAATACAGTCTACAGATAATGCTATACAAAAGGCAAACAACACTGAACTCCCTGGACACAAACCTTCACAGACTCAAGGTGAGGCCCGGCCATCATGTGCATTAAACAAGTTCCAAAGTCTTTTCCAGCTCAAGATTTCACCAGCCAGGGATTATCGGAAGCTATTAGCTTGCGTATTTCCCTAGTGCTTAACGATTCACACTCTGATAGTAATTCTTCACAGCTGGCATTACGTGAAAGCCAAGGCCAAGTGGCACACCTGGAATGAGTTGGCAGGGACTTCCTGAGAGAGCACCACAAAAGCCTCCATGGACAAGGTGGGGCCTCCAGCAGAGAGGTCCCACCGTGGCTGCTGGCCACAAGCAACTCATAGGCCTCGCTTCCCTGACACGGTTGACGGGCAGCAAAACCACCAAGGAGCCAGCCTGTCCAGCCCGCACCCCTGGGCTCTGCAGCGTGGGGCTCTTACAGAGTGAGGGCCCAACAGATTCCTGGCCTTCCTTGAGGAGTTTTCATCCAAGATCAATTAAAAGTTCATTTGTTACCATAAAAAAAGTGACCTATATTTGGAAAAAGGCTAATTTTAGGGCCAGCGCCACTGTCCAGGTGGCACAAAGCATCAGTAGGCTAAGCCTCCACCTGTGGTGCTGGCACTCCTCCGGACAGGTGCTTGATATACAGAGAGGAGAGACAGAGAGGAAGATCTTTCGTCCGATGATTCCCTAAGCGGCCAGAATGGCTGGAGCTGAGCCAATCCGAGCCAGGATCCAGGAGCCTCTTCCAGGTCTCCCACATGGGTGCAAGGTCCCAAGGCTTTGGGCCATCCTTGATTGCTTTTCCCAGGCCACAAGCAGGAAGCTGGATGGGAAGCGGGGCAGCCAGGATTAGAACCGGCGCCCATATGGGATCCCAGCATGCTCAAGCTGAGGACTTTAATTGCTATGTTATTGCACCAGGCCCAAATCTTTTAAAATAAATACTTCTAACTGACCAATGATCATTACTCACAACAATATAATAAGGAAGACAGACAATGATGAAAAACAGGGAACTCTTAAAGGAACATGAAGGAAAGCGGGACAAAGTATTCTAACATAATGAAGCTTTGCTGAGCATAATGGTATTATGATGTGGCTGGTGATGACATGACACTTGATAACAGAATACAATTTACAAAAAGCAGAGACTTTGACACACATTTTCTTTTTAAAGATGTATTTATTTTTATTGGAAAGGCAGGTCTACAGAGTGAAGGAGAGACAGAAAGATCTTCCATCCGCTGGTTCACTCTCCAAGTTGCTATAATGGTCAGAGCTGAGTTGACCTGAAGCCAGGAGCCAGGAGCTTCTTTTGGGTCTCCCATGTGGGTGCAGCGTCCCAAGGCTTTGGGCCATCCTCTACTACTTTTCCAGGCCACAGGCAGGGAGCTGGATGGGAAGTGGAACAGCTGGGGCATAAACTGGCACCCTTATGGGATCATGAAGCGAGTAAGGCGAGGATTTAACCGCTGAGCCAATGCGCTGGGCCCTTGACACACATTTGTTAAACAAATGAATTATCAAATGACAAAATACCAAAACTCCAATATTATATTAAGGAGTAAAGAACAGGGGTAGGCACTGTAGCCCAGGCAGCTAAGCTGCTGCTGAAAGGCCTGCATCTCTTGGCAGTGGCTGGGTTCCAGCTAGATGCACTTCCTACCAATGGCCCAAGCACTTGGCTTGCTGCCATCAACATGGGAAACTTGATGAAATTTCTAGCTGCAGCATTCAGCTTGGCCCGGCTTTGCCCACCACAGGCATCTGGGGAGTGAACCAGCAGACGCAATGTATCTTTCTCTCTGTCATTCTGCCTTCCCAATAAATCAAAAAACAAACAAAAAGCCTCCACAAAACTTAAAACAAAAAAAAAAAAAAAAAGAAAGAAAGAACAAAAGGTTCTACCTTGTCAATAATGGACTGCATGTGAGATTTGTGGGACTGGTCTCCATACAGCAAAGAGGACCACTGGTCTGGTGCAATTCGTAAACCCGCTTCCATAGCAATCTGTACTATCTGGGAGTCGTGTTCTCGACGAAGAGCTTCGTAAGTTCTAAATTCTTCCTTCAGTTGCATCAAGGAAGAATCTTCATCACGTTTTGTGACCTAGGAAGACACAAATAATCATATAATGTGCTTAAAAAAAAAAAAAAGAGTTCATACTTAAATTAACACACGTAGATAGCATAACTTTACCATAACAAACACACTTCTTGGGGCTGGTGTTGCGGTTTAGCGGGTCAAGTTCCTGTGTGTGCTGCTTTGAGTCCTGACACCTCCACTACTGATCAAGCTCCCTGTGTCTCTCTGTAACTCTTCCAAATCAAACCAATTTAGAAGAGCGGAGGAGGGAGAGACATGCTGTGGCACACAGCTCTAGTGCCACTATCTCGTACTTACTGATGTGACCCTGGCTGCTCCAACTCCCAGTCCACTGCCCTGCTTGCAAAGCTGCAGATGGCAGCACAAATGGGTGGGGTCCTGCGTCCACTCGGGAGACCAGGAAGAAACTTCTGGCTCCTGGGTCTGGCCTGGCTCAGTGCAAGCCTTGCTGCCATTCAGGGAGTCAACCAGCAGATGGAAGATATCTGCCTCTCCTTCTCACTCAGTAACTCCGTCTTTTCATCTCCTGGATAGATCTAACAGAAAGAATGAATATTTTCTGAGATGAAACTGAAAGACTGGATAGGGCCAAGTGCTGTGGTGCAGCCGGCTAAGCTGTCACTTGGGATACATACTTCCCACAGAGGCTCCTACACATCTGCCCCAGCTGCTGGCTAATGCATACCAGGAGAAAACAGACCATGACTCAAATGCTTGGGTTACCCTGCCACCCACAAGGCAGGCACACATGGAGGCTGAGATTCCTGACTTCAGCCTGGCCCGGCCATATGGGACTGTGGGCATTTGGGGAGTGAGTCACCAGATGGAACATTTCTCTTTTTCAAGCAGAAGAAAAATAAACATTTAGTAAGGACTGGATAGATCTTGACATACATGCCGCTTCAAGTGTGCGTGTGTATACATTCTTTATAAAAGAAACTCTAGGGTTGTGCTTATAGCACAGGGTATAAGGATGCCACCTGCCACAGCAGTACCCCATACTGGTGCCACTCTGAGTTCCAGCAACTCCACTTTTGATCCACAATTAGTTTCCTGCCAAGTGTATAGGAAAATCAGTGGAAGACGGTCCAAGTCTTTGGAACCCTGCCCCACTGTGGGAGACCCAGCTCAATCTCCAGGCTCCTGGCACTCAGCACTGGGCTCAACTGGCCACCGCAGCCATGTGGGGGATGCACCAATGGATGGAAGATTCCCTCTCTCTGAGACTCTTTCAAAATAAATCAAAAATACATATCTGATAAACTAAAGAGTTTTAGATGCTGATGTGATTCTAAAGATGACTAATTTCTATATGATTTAAATATCAAAGAGCTCTGTGGAATGGACCACACAGTCTGAGATGCTGGGCTAGAAAAAACAGAATGATGATAAAAAGAGCTATCAGTAAATCTGTGCCAGTCAGTACCTTAATAACCATCCTATTGTTGATTAAATCTATTCTCCTCACTTGCTGTGGTGAATACTATTGCTAGCATTCCAATGACTCACTCTTTCTAAGTCAAATTGGATTGAGGCTTAGGCTCATTAAATCAAAAAAAGTAACTGTAGCCTAAAACCATCCATTCCTTACATACTTTACAACAAATTTTGCCATGTAAAGCTTTTTTTCCAAGAAGGATTCATATTCTCCTATCAGAAAATTTCCATCTTTTCCCTCCCAGCAAACCAACTACAGAGCATCATAATATCATAATATCCTATCACTATTCAGCCCCAGAGTATAGCTCCTACTTTGTAACACAATGACATGCATTTTAAAATGTGCTATCCTTATCGTAAGGAAAGTTGAATTTATACTGTTACGTAGCTTGTTCATACAGACTAAATACATACAAATCAAGAGCTAACTACATTTTGTTGTTACTCCAAGGTGACTCAGAATGAAATCAAGTGCTCATGCATGTGGCAACACTGGTCCCAGCTAACTCCCAAACAGCCGTCCTGCCGCACGCCCGCCAACAGGGACCTAAATGACAAAGCTGGACATGTTGTTCATTCCTCATTTTTCAAAAAGATTTATTTTTAATTGTAAAGTCAGAGTTACAGAGACAAGGACAAAGAGAAAGATCTTCTGTCCTCCAGTCCAATCCTCAAGTGGCTGCAATGGCCAAAGCTGAGACAATTTGAAGCCAGGAGCCAGAAGATTCTTACCGGTCTCCCACGCACGTGAGGATCCCAAGGCGTTGGGCCATCCTCCACTGCTTTCCCAGGCCACAAGCACAGAGCTGGATGGGAAGTGGGGCAACTGGGATACAAACTGGCATTCATACGGGATCCCAGCACGTACAAGCAAAGGACTTTAGCCACTTGGCTACAGTACTGGGCCCAAATTTCTGATTTTTAAAAATTAATATCAATGTTTTGAAATGATTGAGAGCCACACCTTATGGATATTCTGGTGTTTTTGAGTCATTTGTTCTTTCTACCAAATAGTGTTTAACTATAACAGTATGCCATCTACATTCTTTTTTTGTTTTGGTGGTCAATAGCCTAAGTTTATTAGTTGCCTCAGGCTTTTACCGACTGAGGGTCCCATAGGATAAACAAGGAGGCATTGGGGAGTTTACATAGTTCTCATAAGCCTGTCTACTGAACCCATCAATTGTTTTCACACCCTTGTCTGAAAATAATCTGTTTTGCATATCCAATTAATTGTTCCAATTCAAATGATATCCGACCAATTGGTCATACTAATGATATCCATTCAATTGTTCTTATAAAACGACATCCAATCAATTGTCTTCCTACAAATCCCTCTTGTTTAGTTTGTAAGTTAGGCTTGAGGACCATAGCTAGGGAGAGCATTCTCTTGGAAGGGCAGGAAATGGGGAGAAGCAATTATTTTATTATACAAATACAGCTTCACCAGGGACCAGAGGTCCTAACTGCCTGCTATGCCACCTGACCCCTCATGTTCTGCAGGACGGACCCTAGCTGCTGTCAGGAATGGGAGCCGAAGACCGCTCTGGCTGAAAGCGGGTGGAGAGAGGGGCAACAGCAGCCGGGCATTCTCCAGGGGGCCTAGAGGTCCCTGGCAGAAAGCAGAAGTCTTCAGGTGTCTGAAGTCTGCTTGGAGGTTGGAGGCTTCTCTCTATTGAAGTCTCTTTCTGGGGGGTCTCCACCACACTTTCTATCTGCTTTCAAGTCCCCGTTCAAGGGCGCCACGTGTTCGGCAGCCATGGGCTTGGCGCGGAGCCTGATAAAGAATATGCATGGGCTGATGCTCAACAGCCCTATCTACATTCTTTAAAAGAACAAAGAAAATCATGGCTGGAATTTTCTAAAAAGACATCGGAAACTTCACTGAGGCTTTATTATAATTATAATGCAGGCTCATACCTTGAAGCAGGAGGCCCTGTAAAGGAGCTGAACGACATGTCCGATGCTGGTTTTGGATGCTTGAGGAAACCTGGGCTCCAACCTCTGCACCACAAAGAGAACCAACACTTTCCTTGACAAGGCAGAACCATCTTCCAAGGCCAGCAGAACCAGTTTTAGAGCTTCCTCCTGCATTGCTGGTAAAGTTGGGAGAAGCCAGTTTACACGTGTGTAGAGAAGAGAAATCCATTTATTACAAGGGAAATAATCAGTAATTTCTACAGGCATCTCTCCAGTTAGTGGGCAATATAATAAAGCATACATGTTTACTTTTAAACCTTTTTTTCACACATATGTTATGAAAACAAACACTTGATTGATACATTCAGGAGAACTTCCATGAAAATGACTAAACTTTGGGTATCAAGTGAAAAATGGTAAGTTCTCTGAAAGACTAACTCATAAGGAGTTACCTCAGCCATGACTAGTCAAGCAATCCATTACTTAGTAACCGACTGTTGCAAGAAACGATCGTGTGTGTTTGCAGCTCCTTACCTGGCCCGAGGAACTGGCAGCCTCTGGCCCGCACCGCCGCCCAGAGATTGGAAGAGAGCTGCTGAGGGTTCTGGTGCTGCAGGATGAGCTCCGTGACCGTGCGTTCCCCCAGAGAGCGCGCGGCCCGCATGGCCCGGATCCGGCCCTCCTCTTCCACGAGCTGGCAGTGCACCAGCGTCACCAGCTTCCTCTGCATCGGGCGGCTCAGGACACTCTGAGTAGTGCTGTTCAAACCTACTCCTGTGAAGGAGAACAAATGCTAACAACGAAACAGCATAAAAGCATGAGTTACCCCATCCACCCAATCTATCACTTGTGGTATAACAGTGCTATAGTGAGCTAAGCCTGTGCCGGAGGCGCTGGCATTCCGTGCAGCTCCCTGCTTGTCACCGGGCACAGCAGGGGAGTCCTGCGGCTGCACCCAATGGGAGGAAGAGGAAGCTCTCAGTAGAAAAGCCACAGCAGCCCAAATGTGGGGCGAACTGGAGGATGAAAGACCTCTCTGTCTCTCCTCCTCTATCTCTGCCTTTCAAATAATAGTAATCAATAACAGTAATACACTTTAAAAGAGGCCCTCTTATAATCACTAACGTATTGACGTTTCTGCACTCCTAAGTCACACTTAGGATCATTTAAGCTCTCAGCTCACTGTCGTACTTAATGGGATTTTTTCTTAAGGACTTATGTATTTGAAAGGCAGAGCCAACAGTGAGACAGGACGAGATGTCCCATGCAACGCTCACTCTCTAGATGGTAACAACAGTCGGGCCAAGCCAGCCAAAGCCAGGTGTTTCACCTGTGTCCTTAACACGGGGCAAGGGCCCAAGCACTCGGGATGGCCTTTGCTATTTTCCCAAGCGTATCAGCACGGAGCTAGACAGGAAATGGAATAGCAGGGATTTGAACCAATGCCTGTGCAATGCTAGCACTGCAGGAGGTTATTTAATCTGCTACGCCAAAATGCTGGTCCCTCTAATATTATTATTTAGCACAAAGTAGGCTTGATTTACTATAAATGCATAAATCTGATTACTATTTATGAGAACGTACCTTAATGGCTTAACATATTTTTATCCTGACAATTTTCTGATTCTTCTTCAGATTTATTTATTTAGAAGGCAGTTAGAGAGGGAGGGAGGGAGCACATGAGAGACAGACACACCCTCCATCTGCTGGTTTACTCCTAATGGCTGCAACAGCCTGGGCTGGGGCAGGCCCAAGTCAGGAACCAGGAACTTCACCCAGGTCTGTCACAGATAAAGGACCCTGCCCTAGAACATCTGCTGCTTCTCTTCCAGGCACACGAGCAGGGAGCTGGACTGGAAGTGGAGCAGCCATGACTTGAGCCAATATTCATATGGGAATGCTGGTGCTGCAGCTGGTGGTTTACCCACTATGCCACAATGTTAACAGATGCAACATCACACACACTGTACAAAGTTTACCTCTAGCACTGCTGAGTGGTTTCAGGTACAACGCTAACTCTTCCACACATTTCTTGGCTTCTTCATAATGCTTTGTATCTTCAACCCCACTACACAAAGTAACGGGCTGTTGTTCAGGGACCTGAAAACCAAATCAAAAAGGTCTGAGTATTCATTCATGATAAAAATATTAAGTACATTTTAGATGCTGATTAGCTGTAATACCAGCAACATCAAAACAATCACTAAATTTACTGAATCTTTTCAAAGAGTTTTTTGATATACACATAAATTTATTGTATTATTTTGCTTCTGCTTTATGGAAATGCAATTAACTAATTTAACATACACAAGTTTTTAAAAAAATATATGTTCACAGTTGTATAACCTGCACCACAATGAAATTAGAACATTAGTAATACTCCCCCGACCAAAAACAAAAAGCCAGCCGTCTTCACAGGCATCCCTCATTTCTTAGGAAACACGAATCAATAGTCTACAGGTTTGTCTATTCTGGACAATTCATATAAACAAAATCAAAATCATACACCATCTGGTCTTTTCTGACTTTATTCATTTACCATGTCTTCAAGGACCACCAAAGTTGTAGAATGAACCAGCACCTCTTTTTTATGGCTGATTAACATTCCACTGAAAGGACATACCACGTTTTAAATATAATCACCATTCGACCAACATTCAGGGACTATTTTGATTTTTGGGAAATCATACTGGTTTTTAAAATTTTTTAAAATAATACTATTATGAACATTCGGGAACAAGTATTTTTGTGGATATATTTTCTCTTGCCTTTACAAGCATACTAAGGAGTGGTAGCAGTTTACATTTCTTAAAAAATACTAGATTATTTTCTAAAAGCAGAGCTCACTTTACACACCTAGCAAGAGTGAATAATGATTCGAATTCCTTCACACGCTATCCTTTAAAGTCAACGGAGTAGCAGAGCAGGTTGATTTTGTCCTTCGTGCCTGTGTCTCACATGGGCACTAGCTCATGTCCCAGATGCTCCTTTTCTGATCCAGCTCTGATTACGGTCTGGGAAAGCAGCTATGCTTTCCACATGGGCAATCTGGAAGAAGCTCCTGGCTCCCAGTTGCAGATCAGCTCAGCTCTGGCCACTGTGACCATATCAGGAGTGACTCAGCAAATAAATAAAAATAAATACATCTTTAGAAGTATTTTTCTTTAATTTGAAAGACACAGAGGAAAGAATGGGAAAGGGGAGAGAAGGGACACTAGCCCGACAGCCGAGCTCCCCTTCCTGCTGGCTGTCTCCCCAAATGCCCACGATGGTCAGGGGCCAGCGCAAAGCCAAAGCTGGAAACTCAATCCAGGTCTCCACAGAGGTGACAGGAACCCAATCAGAGCTACCACTGCCACCTCCTAGGGTCTGACAGCAGCCCGCTGCACTCTGCAGCCAGAACTGGCATGTAACACAGAACGCTCTGCTGTGTACCTGAGCACTGCAACTGGATTTTCAGAGTTTGGCTAAAGCCCCTACCTAGGAGGTGAAAAGTGGTATCATGAAGTTAAGATTTCTTAAAGTTGACTTTTACTCATTTGGAAGAGAGAGTGGTACACATACACACAGAGGGAGGAGAGAGACAGAACAAGAAATCAAGAGTCAAGGTCTCCCATTGATCTGATTACTACCTAAACGCCAACAACAGCTTGGGCCGAGCCAGGCTTTCTCCCACAGAGGGCAAGGACCAAGGATTTAAACCTTCATCTGCCGCTCGTTGGTACAATAGCAGGCAGCTAGCTGATAGAAGATTTATGGAAGGCAGGCATCATTAATGGTGGCTTATGCCACTAAACCACAATGCGCTTTCATTCACCAATTCCTAAAATTTTATTTTCAACTGACAAATTCATTATACACATTTCTGGAATATAAAGGAATGCTTCGATGCTTATGATGTTTTTGAATGATTAACCATGAGGCTAGTAAACAGGTCACTTGCCTTATTCAATTATCTATGAAAATATTTAAAATAACTCCTGTAGTAATTTTTAAAATAGAATATATTATTAATTATAGCTGCTATGCTACCGAATCCCTAAAGTTTATTTCTCTTGTCTCTCTCTCTCCACTGAACTGTGAAGTGTTCCTATGCAGCTAAGGATTCTGACCGTCCTTTGAAACAGTTACTGGCCACCTGCACCTGTGCTCACTGCATCACACCAAGGCCACATTCTGCCACTATGACTTACTGTTGCTGATGTTACCTTGACCATGTGGCTGACACAGCTTTCACTGAGTTCTTCCAATATAAAGTTACCCTTAATCTGCTGTATCACAACATGGATTCGACATTTTTTTTTTTTACTAGTGCTAAAGTTTTTTAAAATGTGTGCTTATTCACTTTCATTTACTTGAAAGGCAGAGTGAGACACAGAGACGGCGACACGGGGGAGAAACAGATCTTGTATAAACAGTCGCTTAGTCCCTGAATTTCTATAGCAGCCAGAGCTGGGCAAAGCTGAAGGCAGGAAGAACCAGAACTCAGCCCAGATCTCACACAGGGCCAGAGTACTCCAACACTTCAGCCAGCACTTCTGATCCCCGGGCACGTTAGCAGAAAACTGGATCAAAAGTGGAGGCAAAACTGAATTTCAGGCAATTCCATCAAAGGCTTGAGTGTTCGAAACAGTAGCTAAACCTGCTGTATATGAGCCTTTTCCCTTTGCAATGTACATTTGAGGGATATCCATGTCCTTTTGTACTCTGACAATGATTTCTTAGGACTTCATTTCATACAGCACTGTAAGGATGAATACTGTTTTATAATTAGGCTGCAACTCCCACTGGTGTATACAAAAGGCAAATGGGATGTGCAACAGACCAGACCAGTCTGCAGCACACACTGGCACACACAGGAACCAGGGCTGCGGGTGCACCTGCCAGGTTTCTGGGATGGCTCCGACTGGGCTGCAGTTCTCACTGGTGTGTGTGAAGGTCGAGTGCATGGTGGGCAGGGCTGGCTTGGGCTGCAGCATCCACCAATGCGTGTGTAGGCTGATGTGGGTGACAGACTGAGCTGGACCCCGCACTGGCTGACACACTCAACAGTGAGGTTTCTTTGGGGACCCTCCAACTGAACTGCTGGACTCAGAGCTCCAATTATGGCGAGAACTGCAGAATCTGTGTTCTGATTGTGGAGTACTTTAGTCAGAACTGGGTCTTCTCAGTTGCTGAAGATGGTGCAGGGCACGGCACGTTCAGATGTACATGGAGGACATTGCAACCAGTTCAGTGAAGCCTGCAGAGGACATCTAGTACCATGGGTGGCAGAACAGATTGGACAATTCTCCCAGCCAGGCATTTATAGCAAGTATCTAGGTAAATGGAGACTCTAGGGTGGACTATGTCAGCCAACGGACCTGGGAAGCATTCCACCACCCTTAGAACAACATCAGCAGCATTCTAAAACTATCCAAACAACTCGAGCAGAAACTTCGGAGCATGCACTACACTGGGGACCCTGGAGTGACATCAGGTGGCCATCCCCCATTCCCAGATACTGTTTAAACTAGGATGCTAGGTGAGGCTTCTCCCCTTCTCTCCACTGGAAACAGTGGTCTCATCCATCTTCCCCTTCCCACCTTAACTAGCATGGCTGTGCATCCTTTTCAATTATGTAAACTTCATCCGAAATTGAAGAAAAAGAAAAAGCATCTACATTGCATGCATTTTCTGGTAGTTATGAGGGAAAATTATTAAACATGAGACAGTTTATATATAGCTAAGTTTTCAAATAAGTTGGATTAAGACTATACATGAAGTTTAGTAAGAAACTTCCTATTTCTCCTCCCACCCAGCAAAGAAAGGCAGTTACGTCAGCATTCTGTGTCGTGTTTTGGATTCTAGCTGTTCTGATACATAGTGGTATTTCACTCTTACCTGAACCTACAATTCCTTAATGAAAAGCTACTGAGCAACTAATTTCTCGCTTGATCATCTGCTATCTGTGCATCTTCTATGTTGAGTTACTTACATCTCTGCCTATTTCTAATTCGATTATTCATCGTTTTACTACTGAGTTGTAACAATTCTTTTATTTTAGAAACAAATCCCTTCTCTGATATATGGATTTACAACTTTTTTATTGTTTCTTTTTATTTTGATGGATTTATAATTTTTGACTCATTCTGTAGGCTGTTTATTCTCCTGATGGTATCTTTGGAAATAGCCTTCATATTTTGATGAAATAAAAAAAATTTCTTTACATTTTATTCTTTGTGATTCAAGCATATTAAAAAAGACACAACACTGCTTAATCCGAGATCATGAAGACTTACGCTTTTATTTTCTTCTTCTAAGAGATCTGTGTTCTAGTTCTTACATTAGGTTTTGATCCATTAAGTTAATCTGAGTAAATATTTACTAAGTTTCTATCAATATTGATTTGTAGTCCTCAAATAGTTTTACTTTGCAAATAAATTCACAACATCTCATTTTTCAATTGCTACCAAAGGTAGAATTGATTCTTCTTTCCAAGTTTTTCCACTACCAGGACACAGATACAACTCTCTGCGGGCAGGGGTTTGGCCCAGTTGGAATGCTGCTTGGAATGCCTGACGGCTGGGAGCCTCAGCTCAGGTTCTGATGCCAGCCTCAGCTAACATGAAGCCAGAGGTGAGGGACAATGGGTCACCTGCCTAGGTCTCAGCAGCCCATGTGAGCGAGCTCGACTCAACTCAGGTCCTAGCTCCGACGACTGTGTGAATATCTGGGGAGTGAGCTGCAAATGGGAGATTTCCCTGAACTCTTGGTTACTATCTACCTTGCAAATAAAGAGAATGCAACTGTTAGTTATATGCTGTTGTAATTTGTAACCCTGGCTAATGAATGCATTGGTTATAAAAGCTTTTATACTTAATAAAGTCCTTATAATTTTCCATATATAATATCAAGTCATCTGTAACTAAATAGAATCACTTTTCCCTTTCCTTCTTACCCAGATGTTTTTAATTTCATTTTTGTGCTTAAGTACTCTGGCTAGAATGTTCCGTACAATGTTGAACAGAAACGAACAGTGAAATCGTTGCCTTGCTCCTGACGTTAGAGGGGAAAAGCACCTCGTCTCTCACAATTAAGTAACATGTCATCTGCACACTTTCAAACCAATGCTTCATCTTAATGAAGTAACTTCCAGCTTTTCCTTATTTCTTGAAAGTTTTTACAATGAACTGGTACTGAATGTTGCCAAAAACCTTCTCTTTGTCTACTGATAAGATTATGCAATATGGCATTTAAAAAAAATTCTACTAATGCGGTAAACTTCAGTAACTAATTTTCTGATATTAAGACAATCTTGCATTCAGGAATCTCACTTGATGGCATGATCATTATTTTGGTAAAATACACGTAACATAAAATCTACCATTACATCACATATAACACATTAAGGTTCAAAACATCACATACCCTGCACCACTCTCTCTCTCCACCCAGCCATCGGCCACCACTGTCCTCCTCCCTGCCAACTTCTGTCCTCCTTTCTGTCTCTGAGAATTTGCCTATCCTGGGTAAGTGGTCCTTCTGTTTTGGCCTATTTCACTCAGCATATTTTTAAGGCTCATCCACAAAGGGGACATAAGACAATTCCATTCCCCTTGTGGGTGGACAACACTCCACTGCATGCCATATCATGTTTATTCTTTCATCTGTCAGGCAACATCTGAGTCGCTTCCATTCTCTGGTTACTGTGACTGATGCTGTTAGGAATTTAAGTGTGCAAATATCTTTCTGTGATTTTGTCTTCAATTATTTGAAAAAATTACCAACCCAGAGTAAGCATGCTTGATTGTGACAGTTACACTTGCAAATTTTTAAGGTATTGCCACTCCAACTTCTAAAACGCTGCAAAATTTTACATATATACTAACATTATATATGACCGTCTCAATTCTTCATATTCATGAATAAAAGTTCCTTTATATGTACTCAGAAAATAATTTATGGTAAATTTATGGAAATTTAAATTGACATTATATAAGTTAATAGTAAGTAAAAATCTACCTTTTTTGGCTTTATAAAATCTGTGGAAATGCATCTCTAAACTGAAAATACAAACTTTTCAAATATTATCTTCTACAGTATCACATGGACTTCCACACTTAGATACCTAGGAGTATTTGATAATATTTTTCTGAGAACTTTTAACAAAGCATCAATGATACCAATATTTTTCTATCCCTAAAATATTTTTTTTAAAAAGGATTTTTATGCTAACAATTTTAGTACGCAGAGTGAGGTTTATTTAATAGTGAGAAAGAAGGAGGTTTCCTGTTATGTGACAGGAAGGGGCTCCAAGGGAGGAAAATCCCAGCATATCTGATATTCTAAATATCAAATATCCCAAGCTGTGACTGCAAAGTAAAATTTCCTGAAATAGCTTCATCTTTCCTATTAAGACAAGTACACTGGTTTCATAAACATGGTCCTCAACATTACAAGATCTCTGTATTTAAATTTCTTGCATAATCAGAACAAATAGGACTGTTAAAAATCTAATTATGAAATTAAACGGATGTTCTAATACTGCATTCACATGAGAAACCACAGGAGTACCATAACAACTTCCGTGTAGAGAACAGAATTATCTGATATGACCCCATTTTAATGCACAGCTTTCCCTGAGGGAGAGCCGCGGCGCAAGCCGGCGGTCTGCCCGGCCTCTCACCTGAGCACCCACAAGCTGCAGCAGCGCCGAGTTCACAGGGAGCAGCTCAATGTCTGTGTTGATAGTGGTCTGGTCAAATGGACAAGCCTTGCGGTGGAGTTTATTCAGGCACATCTTGCACACAGTGTGGCCACAGCCCAAACTGATGGGCTTTCGAATTGTTTCGTCGAAAGTCTGAGTGCAAATTGGGCAGGAGAGGAAATCCGTCCATTGTGGGGCTTGTACAGGCATTGCTTCTGGAGTTACAACTGACTAACACACACACACACACAAATCTAAAGCAGATTCCACTGGAATCAAAATCTTTGAAAAAAGTTTATCTTTTTTTTTTTTAAAATATCTTCTGTAGATACAGTCAGCACATAGTGTGAAATATAACCTGGAAAACAGAGAAAATGGGAAAAAAAATAAGTACCACCATTTTTTATTAAACCATTAACTGCTGAAAAGGAATCCTCAGTCTTTTATTTGAACATTTTCATTGGAGAGAGGGCAGGCATAGAAAGAGACTAAGACAGAGACATAGCAATCCCCTTGTGGCTCGCCACCTAGAGGTCCCACCAGCCAGAGGCACAGCAGGACAACACTGCAGTCTGCAAGCTCGACCGAGCCTCCTGTACAGTGGGCCAACCCCGCTAGCCCCGCCACTCAGGCCATCAGTGCAGCCTCCCAAAGTAGGCATCCGCAGACGCCTGGCACTGCAGCGCGGGCACAGCCTCTCCAGCAGCGGTCACCAGGGCCTGGCACTGCAGCGCGGGCACAGCCTCTCCAGCATTGGTCACCAGGGCCTGGCACTGCAGCGCGGGCGCAGCCTCTCCAGCATTGGTCACCAGGGCCTGGCACTGCAGCGCGGGCACAGCCTCTCCAGCAGCGGTCACCAGGGCCTGGCACTGCAGCGCGGGTGCAGCCTCTCCAGCAGCGGTCACCAGGGCCTGGCACTGCAGCGCGGGCACAGCCTCTCCAGCATTGGTCACCAGGGCCTGGCACTGCAGCGCGGGCACAGCCTCTCCAGCATTGGTCACCAGGGCCTGGCACTGCAGCGCGGGCACAGCCTCTCCAGCATTGGTCACCAGAGCACCAACACCTTCCCCTTCCGTGCTTTGCACCCAACAGCCATCTCTTTCCGCCTCCTTGTATGGTCTATGCTTGTTTGCTATGTGTATCAATACAGTTAAAATATTTACTTCAAATCTCCCCATTTCAGAAACTAGCACAATGACTGGAACCCATAATTAAATGTCACTGTCTACCCTGTTTTTGCAAAAGACAAAAAAATGTCTATTGCAAGCTTTTTTCAGGTCACCGATGCTGAAGTTCCAGGACGCTCAGTAGACTCCTCACCAGCACGGAAGCAGGGCTGGCACCATGTGCAGTGGGCTAAGCAGCCACTTGCCTACACAATGACATCCCACACAGGTCTGGTGTTTGTTCTGCCTGCTGCCCTGCTCACCCAGCTCCTTGGCCCTGGGACACACATGAGACACCAGGAGTTCTAAATTTCCAGCTTCGACCTGACTCAGATTTGGCTGGTGAGCAGGTAAACCAGTGAACAAAAGGAAACCTCTTCCCTTATCCCCTTCCCGCCCGTCTCTTCCTCTCTGTAACTCTTTCAAACAACAACAACAACAAAATCAATCTTTAAATAACTAAATCAAAAGCTGACAGACTCCTGGACTGGTTGGGCACTGTGGTCCAGTGGTCAGGGAGGCCTCTGCTGGAGTGCCTGGATGGAACTGCTCCTCGGCCCCCAGTGCGGTTTCCTGGTAACGCACATTCCAGAGGCCATGGAGGACAGCGAGGTCACGTGAGCCTGTCACCATGTGGGAGATGCAGAAGGAGCCCCACACCCTGACCCCAGCTCTTGGCGGCATCTAGAGACTGAACAAGCAGATGAACGATGCAACCGGCACTCTCTCCCCCCAAGAGGAAATTTAAAAAAAATCTTGGAAGAGACCCGCTGGTTCACTCCCCAGATAACCTACAGACCAAGTTGGAGGGCCTAAGTCAGAGTCTGGCTTCCCTCCCGGTCTCGGCCCCGAGGCAGCTGGTGACACTGCGGGCAGACCCACCAACAAGGAGGACAGCACTGCCTCCCCAGGCCTGGATTTCAGCACCAGCCCAGCGCCATGGCTGGCGTGCACTCTCTGTCACGCAAATGAACAAATTCTTATTTAAAATACAATCAGAGAAGCAAAGTATGTATCTATGCATCTTACACTTTAGGCATTCAGTTCAATTCAACCTTAAGTCCATCACCGATAATACAGGGGCCAGTAAGCAAGCTAACCGCCACGCACGCACGGGGCAGCTGTTCACAGCACTGCTTGGGCCACACTGACGTGTGGGGCAGTGGCAAAGGGCGGCCTGAGCGCCGACATCAGGGATGCAGTAAAGTCGGCCAAACCAGTATTCTATCCTACCGTGCAGGAATTGTGAAACAGAAACAGATTTTAGCACATCAGTACCTTTCCTGAATTAACATCATTTTCAAGGTCTAAATTTTAAACAGTTATTGCAGTAACAAAAATAGAAGCAAATTAAGACTGCCCACAACTTGATTTCTGAAATAATGCATTATCAACACTTCTAATCAACATTTACAAAATGAGTACCAACAAGTCAGTTAATATTATTACTATCTCTTAAAGTGAAACTGTCAACCAGATATATTAAAAAAACACAGTATCTAATCATGCTCCTCAACTGTAAAATCAAATGCTACAACTGTGACAGGACCAAATATGGAAACAAGGACTGGTGTGGAGCAGGGAGTTACCCTGACTGAGCCTCAGCAGGCCACGTGGTGGGCGTGGACTTCAGTCCCACTTCTACTCCATCTGCAGATTATCGTGAATACATAACATTCAGAAGGAGAACTGGATATGGCTTGTTAGAGAACTGTATGCTCTAAAAACACTACGAAAATCTTACACAGCTAGATGCCACATATAGTGCTATATGCCAAAAAAAACCAGAAAACTATAAAAGTAGCACTGTCATCCCATTTTACAGGTAAGATAAATGAACGTTTAGAACAGCAGGAACTAAAAAGGGACAGTATTAAGATACTTATCCAGATAGATATCCTGGATCAACACCCAGCCTCAAGCATGCGATTCTACACTGAAGGCTAAACATAAGGAAAAGGGGAGAGAAGAGTTGAGGCGGCAATGAGCACCCCGTATGAGAGCGGCTTGAGCCCTGCTCGACGCCCGTTCCTAACGCATCCGGGAGCGGGCAGGCAGCTCCAGCACCTGGCGTTCCCAGCCTCGTGGCTCTGGCCTGGCGCAGTCCTGCTGTGGCAGCCATTTGGGAAGTGAACAAGTAAAGCTGGCATATAGTCACAAGCCTACATTCTTTCGTATCTGCTGACAACGTCACCATCATTCTGTTCTTACGGCAAACTTCTTCCCAACCAAATGGTCAAGTCACTATTCTAACCTTACTTGTCTTCACAACAAAATGTAATATAATTGTAATGTTTATGTCCTCCGTGAAATACACCAACATCCCCTTCTACCTTAGCACACTGCCCATTCTTCTAAACAATCGTGGAAATGCAGAATCATCAAAGTTTTATCTCCAGTTACCTTTTCTCACAATTTTCCAGCTTAACATCTGGCACGGGGCTGCAGGGTTCAAATGGCTAACACTCCTCCCACTTCCCATCAAGCATCAGGGTACCACGTGGACATCAGCACATCAGCTCGTGTCCTGGTTGCTCCACTTCCCATCCAACTGCTGTGGCCAGGGAAAGCAACAAAGGATAGTCCAAAGCCTTGGGACCCTGGGAGATCCAGAAGAGGCTCCTGGTGCTTGGCTTCTGGTACGCCCAGCTCCGGCCGTTGTGACCATTTGGATAATGCAACCAGTGGATGGAGATCTTACTGTCTCTCCACTCTGTAAAGCTGCTTTCCTAAATAATAATAATAATCCTGAAATGGTTTTCTGTTATACTTAGAATAAAATTAATATTTTTTTACCCTGGTTTACAAAGCCCTACAGGATATGATGTGTAATTTCTCCAATTTCATCATCATCATCACTTTTTTAGCATTTATTTATCTGAAAGGCTTTAAAAAAGGGAGAGACAGAAAGGGAGACATAGATCTGCTGATTCACTCCCCACATGACTGCAATGGCAGTCAAACCAAGTTGCAATCAGGAGCCAGGAGTTTAATTTGGGTCTCCCGATGGGTGGGAGATAGCCAGGGCTGTCGTCTGCTGCTTTCCCAACACACTGACCGTCTGCTGCTTTCCCAACACACTGACCGGGAGTGGAACTGGAAGTGGAGCAGCCAGGACTCAAACTGCTGCTCACAGGGGACACTAGCATGACAAAAAGCGGCTTAACCTGTTATGCACAATGCCGTCCCCCAATTTGATTATAACCCGTTTTTTTTTTTTTTTAAGCAGTAGAACTGATTTATTTGAAAGGCAAAGTTATGCAGGGAGAAGATGGGGAGAGAGATCTTTCACTTATCGGTGTTCTTTCCACATAGCCCAATACAAACAAACCGAAAGTCAGAGCCCGGAACTCTATCTCTGGGTCTGCCAGGTGGGTAGCAGGGACCCAAGCACTGGGTCATCCTCCCGCCTTCCCGGGAGGAAGCCTGGCTCGACCTGTGCTCATACAGATACCAGCACTCAGAGGCACAACCCGACACAACAGAGTCAGCTCCCAGGCAGGCACATTAGGCTATCATTTAAAACACCAGCGGTCCCTAGGCCAAGCTGTGGATCCCAGGGGCGGGGTATGTGTCCAGGGTGGCCTGGGTCCTTGGGTCCACCTGGGTCCTTCTCAGTGGAAAAGACGGAGCAATGGACGGCAGGCCCTGATGCACACAGCGGATATGGCAGCCCACTGGGTCCTGCACAGGACATCTGGTACCATGCCAGAGGAAGGAGGACAGAACACATTGGACAACGACCCCGGCCAAAGCTAACAGCAAACATCTGGGCAAATGGAAACTCCAGAGTTGACTATGTCAGCCAATGGACAGGGGTTTCCCCAGCTTGGATCAGGGAGATGGACAGCATTTCAGAACTATCCAAACCACTCGGGCAGGACCCTCGGAGTATGCACCCCATCAGGTGTCAGGTGGCCAATCTTCATTCCTGGGTATGGCTTCTCCCTTTGTCATTCCCAGAAACAGGAAGAAATAGAGAATTTGGAAACAATGATCATGCTCACTTTTCCTGAACCCTCCATTCTTCCCACCCTGAGCAACTATGTGAACATCATTCAAAAGACGCCAGCAACCCGTACAGGAGCTCCTGGCTCATGGTCCTGGACAGCTACGGGACCAGCTTCCCGCCAGTATGTACCCCAGAGGGCAAGACAACATAAGACATAGAAAAAGAGATTAACTCTGGGAA